TAATTAAGCAGAAAATACTATTTCGGTTGTAGTTTGGTGGATTGACTTGAAACTCACATGGTGTAGACTGCCAGCATAGCGGAATAAAAGCACACATTCAAAAAAATTTTATCACTTCCGGTTTCGATGTTAGTACTTCCGGTGGTATCACTTTCGGTGAAATTGAGTTATGTCCAAAATAAAATATGCATTATATTACCAGCCTTAATACAAACTTATTTAACTAAAAAAATCGCACCGGAAGTAACATGTAGGGCCGCCATTTTGGTTTGCCTCATTTTCCAGAAATTGCTTTTCAGAGGCCATTTATCATCCGATTTGCATAACTTTTGTGTCATACGATACGTTTAATGTCTGTCTACAAAAAATGGGAAGCATAATTTTGATTTTCGGTTTTGCCTTTTTTGTACGACTTGATGTTTTTTTGAAGGCTTATAATTCATGACCTTGAACTTTGATGACCTTTATATTGACTATGGTGATAAAGGCTGTCCTTGACCTTCTCATGACCTTTTGACCTTTGGGGTCAAACAACAACTTCTGATTTTATAGGGGTCTAAATATGGTCAAAATGGCATTTTTGCAGTGCTGTATCTCAAACCCTAATTGATTTAGCACCTTACCACTTTCAGATTATTAATGCACTTATTAAATGGTTTCAATTCATGTGGTATTTGATGATGTCAGAGTCACATTAAAGGAAATGTTGCAATTTCCATAAATCTTTAAATGCGTCTATCAAAGGAAGTTGGCCTCGGATGCCGTTGATATTTACATTAATGTTTACTATTGACTTCAGCTTTTACATGATGCTAATATTTTTTATGTCCAACACGTGGTTTCGGTTTTATGGGTGTCACTGAAAGTTGATTCTGCATCTTTAAAGCGCCCTCACATGTGCCCTAATAGAGGTAGAGAAATAATTCTGCCGGATTCAAAATGCTGAGCTCCTGCGCTTTCCAATGATATATAACATGCATGCCTTACATGCAAATTCAAAACCCCATTCACTTAACATGGGACTAGTATTAGATAAATTGGCTAATTAGATTAACCTGGCTGTCAACCCCAATATAAATCAAAGTTTAAGTAGTTTTAAAGACACCCTCCCTTTTATATTTCTTTAAAATGTTTTGTGTCCAGTTAAACTATATAAATAGGTTCTAGGATGGATTGAAACGTGTTATACAGTAAGTTAAGCTTACGGAAGCACATTAAAGGCATACCCCCACTTAATTTCCCAATTTTCTTATTTTTTATCCAAATTTCACCAGACTTGGTATGTATGTGTATAATCCAATTCTAAATTTGATGGATATATCGAATTTGCGTATTGCGCATGCGCATTACTAACTTTCTTATTTCTTATCCGAATTTCATTAAAGTTGGTATGCATGTGTATAATCGAAATCTGAATTTGATGGATATATCGAATTTGCGTAGTGCGAATGCGCATTGCCAACTTTCTTATTTATTAACCGATTTTCATCAAACTTGGAATGTATGTGTATAACCCAATTATAAATTTGATGGAAATATTAATTTTTGTTATGCGCATGCGCATTACCAACTTTCTTATTTCTTGTCCGAATTTCATCAAAATTGGTACGTATGTGTATAATCCAATTCTAAATTTGATGGAAATATTGAATTTTTGTTGTGCGCATGCGCATTACCAACTTTCTTATTTATTATCCGACTTTCACCGTGTTATACTGTAAGTTAAGCTTACGGAAGCACATTAAAGGCATACCTCCACTTAATTTACCAACTTTCTTATTTCTTATCCGATTTTCATCAAACTTGGAATGTATGTGTATAATCAAATTCTAAATTTTATGGAATAATCGAATTTGCTTAGTGCGCATGCGCATTACCAACTTTCTTATTTCTTATCCGATTTTCATCAAACTTGGCATGTATGTGTATAATCAAATTCTAAATTTGATGGAATTATCGAATTTTTGTTGTGCGCATGCGCATTACAAACTTTCTTACTTCTTATCCGAACTTGCTATGTGTGTGTATAAACCAATTATAAATTCAATGGAAATAACCAATTTTTGTTGTGTGCATGCGCATTACCAATTTTCTTATTTCTTATCCGGATTTCATGAAACTTGGTCTTTATTAATTGACAAACATTCTTTTATTCCTAGTCAATATACTTTAAACTCCAGGCACTTTTGCATGTTTGCATTTAGAGATGCAGAAAAGACTATCTTCGTATGTACCTGAATGTCGTAACCCCCCATGCATCAGTACTGTTATTAGAACAGTTCTAGTTTTTTTTTGTGGGACTTTGCTTTCAGCAAAGTCCCAGTTTGTTATCGAAATGTCAATTCTTTTTTTTTTTTTTTTTCTTTTTTTTTCGATTTTTACACACCTTCCTGAGCTTAGTCTACAATAGTTGCAGCAACCATTCAACATTCACGAACCTTAGATATAGGCGACGATGTGCATAAATATATTTTGGATCTTTTTTGCATAACCGGAAGTGCCACAGTTCAATATATGGAAGAATAGATAATCTATTGACCTTCATAAGGTCAAAGGTCATTGACCTTAGCTATCAGTTAATACTTTGACATTTGACCTCCGACATGTACTTCCGGTTTTATAGCTGTCCGAAAACAGCCAAATTCGCAACTTTGGACTGCTCTAGCACGTGACCTATTTAACCTAGAGGGTTAATTTTTTCGGATTCTTAATGTGCTTTTCATGCTCTTTCAAATGATTTATAACAATCGTTTTTTAAAGCAAAATTGAAATTCGTGAATTTTTCAAATTTGAGTTTTTTTTTACAATATTTCTGTTTCTTTGAGCTTGGTGTGTATATATCTTATGACCTATTTTATGTAGAACATTGAAACTTGGAACACAACAAGACAATTTGAATATGAATTAACCTATGACAAAAAAGTTGAGGTGGGTGTGGCACATCCGGGTTGAATTACTAATTGTTTACATTTTGAGAAAGGGGCATAACTCGCATAGGATACATTTGTTCAAAAAGGAACTTTGCACACAATTATCTCATTATTTTGGCCAGTTTGTATTAATAGGTCAATTGTTTCAGCTTTATAGTTCCAAAAAAGGAACGGGTTTTGAAATTTCCATATTTTCAATTTTCTATTTTGACCTTTATTGACTCTTGTTGACCTATATCTTTTGACCTGTATGATGTAAAAGCTTTAAATTTGGAACACAACTTAAAATTCAGAATATCAATTAACCTATGCAAAAGAAATTGAGGTGGGCCTAGCACATCCGGGTTAAATTACTCATTATTGACAATTTTGGCAAGGGACATAACTTGCAACGTAAACATTTGTTCAAAATGGAACTTTGCATACAATTACTGCATCCGTTGAGCCACGTTGTCTTGGAAGTTCGATTGTTTCAGCTTTATAGTTCAAAAAAAGGAACAGCTTTTGAAAATTCAAAATTTTCAATTTTTGACCTTGACCTTTTTTGACCCTGATTTTTGTAGGATTAAAGGTCATTCACATTGGCTATCTATTTATACTTTTATATTTGCTGTCCTATCTCAACTTCCGGTTTTATAGCCGTATATATTTAAAAATTTTGATGACTTTTATCTTGTAACCTTGACCTTTTTTGACCGTCTCCCTTTCAATGTCAAATGTCATTGACCTTGGCTATCTTCTGATACTTTCATTTTTGAGGTCTGTCTACTTCCGTTATAACAATCTTCCAAAGAATTCTTCTCAACTTTAGACAGCTCTTGCGCGTGATCTAATTATCGTAGAAGGTTGATTTTTTTCAGAGTCTTTTGCATTTTGCTACATTTGCAAAGTCCCTAGTTTGTATATTGTTCAGGAATCCATTGTAAATTCAATTTGGCCCATAAGAGCATGTTGAAAAAATGTAGCTCATATCAGTTTTTCTTTCTTAATGTAAAATGTAGAACATGATATTGAAGGTTTTTGAACAGTCCAACATGATGTAGGTTTTTACTAAGCACAACTGTGTCATATTAAATTTTGGAAAGTTAACTCTTATTTCAAAACTATCTATCTTGATGTTCGCATTTCATGTTCAAAACACATTTAATGTTTCACATTAGCTGGCTATTTAATGACCATTATGACCTTTAACTACAAAATCATTTAAAACGATAGAGACAGCTTTTTGTTCGTCCATTTCTCTTGAGGTCTGAATACCGAGACATCTGCAACATGTTAAAAACTAAAATTCCATTTTAAATAACATTTTATAAGCACATCATCAAAGCAAGAGAATTGACTAAACAATGAAGACTCTTGACTTACATCCAAATGACCAGAGTTCTTCCTACAATACAGGTTTCAAAACTCTTTATTTTAACCAGAGTAATGTTAAATACATCTAAGTGATTTGTGAGTTCCATGGTATGGTGATTGGTTCTCATTATTTCAGACAATCAAATCTGTGGATGCGAAGTAGATGGGCACACAGTAGATGCAAATGACAAAACTTTGGGTCATGAATAATTTCCTATTTCATACAATTGATGACAGTTTTCAATATGTCAGTCAATCCACTTGTAGTCACCGTTATACTGGAATGACCATGAAAATGTAAATAACTAAGGCCAATCTGTGTGAAAGGACCTACATCTCTGTTGTTATTCTTACAACATGGTCATTTGGTCATTACTGTTTTTTTTATTCAGTCAATTTCTTATTCCTGTGGGATTTCCCTCACAAATAGCAACATCATAAAATACTTAGTCTTAGAGTTGCAACAACCACATACAATTGACTGGAATTAGAATGATGCATACTGATGCTATCAATCTCCCCAATTCACAGAAAAAGTTATGTAAGATTGTGATTTTCTCTGGAGGTAATATTGTATGATATAGTTATTAGAATTTATAATGATTTTCTGTGATGTAATGACCTGTGTAGCAACTTTTCAACTCCTAGATTTGGTGCTGAATCATTTTCTGTCAGAAGAAAAAAAATATCAATTGAATAGGAAAAATAACTTACGTGGCATCTATAAAGTAGATGATTAATGATGCTATACTCAATAAAAATACCAGACCAACCTGAAAATATAATCAATACTAAATAAATAGCTGGTCATATTTAGACCTTGGTAAATTAGCAGTATCAGTAGGTGTCAGTTAGATGTCTGTTGGCATAACCTTAATGGCTACTTAATTAACAATGACATGTATGGGATTATTGACTTCAGATCCAGATTCTGTTGCACAGTTGGTTAGAGTGTTTATCTGTTTGGATTATGGACATCATTTGCTTGGTTACATTGAAAAAAATTGTTGTCTCAATCAGTCAAAATCCTCATTATTCCAGTCAACCTAGTTGTAAATGCCAATGCCACGAGGTTCTGCCTAGAACCAGGTGAAAAATAACACCTTACCTACAAGATGAAAATAATCAAAGGTATCTGTAGACAATTTTGTTTGCAGAAGGAAAACATTTAAAAATTGATTGTCTTAATTTTGCTAGTAATTATTTGGTCAGATAGCTTACAATACTAATTACACAAAACATTATATCAATTATATCTACCTTATTCATATTCATGGCATTATTTTAATAATTTTATCATCCAATTATCCGTAATTACTGAATTGATGAATAAATCATGAAGATGGTAGACATTTCCATGCCAATTTGTGTAAGATATACAAAATATGTCTAGAGTTAAGCTCTTTCTTGTTAACCTCAAGATCCATAGTTAGATTCTTTAAACTTCCAAGGTCTTTTATACTGTACCATTACCAAAAGATCAAAGGCATCAAGAAATGCACTTGTATAATATGATGACAAATAGTTAGTTCTTTGCATAAACACCCAGGGGGATAATATAATATTTTAATTTAATAGTCGGCAATTATAGGAAATTGTTTTTGGAAAAATCCATAAATACTATGTTGGCCTAACCTTGAATCCAACTCTTTATTTCTAGATTATATTTTCAAACTGCAATCTTAAGAAGAAAATACATTTAAATATGCAATAAGTAGTCGAATAAACAGTATAGTATACTGTATGTATATTAGTGAAGAATATATAGGTACTGGTAAAAAAAAATAGCACTATAGACTACATGTTGAGAGTATGCCAATCTGTCTATCTATTATTATATTGTTCTATTTTCTCTAGTATGGTACTGATGCTATGTAAGAAACAGCATATAACAACCTGAAATATCCTACTATTATCATATTCTCAACACAATTCACATTTTTGCTGGGTCAAGGATAATCACTTTGAAACATTTGTAAAAAAATATGCAATTAAAAAAAAACATTCTATTTAAAGAAACCATTCCAGTTAGATCTGTGTTTACTTATGGCATGTAAAGGTTATTAAAGTAGACAAACCATATTATACAAATCTATATCAAATAAAGAGAAAGAAATACTTGCTCAATTCAAATTTATGTAATCTGGACTATTGGACAAACAGTCCAATTGAAGGCTTAAATGAACTTTTTTTTTTTAAACATTATTGATTATTGAGGGATATGCTTTACAGAGTAACTGGTAAGGAAGTAGCATCCAAACCTGTAAGTTGGCATCTTTTCTGTCTGGGACACCCCTTTTAAATACCTCTATAGGCTTAGCCATTATTAACATCATAATACAACAAAAATAGAAATAGAATATTTAAACATTGAAATGAATAATCATATTGTTATTTATGACTATACCACATGTGCCATTAGAAAAATATAAGAAAAGAGTTGAAAAGTCAATTATATATAATTACAAAGTAGAATAAACTTTATAGTCATATTATGAAAGGGAGGGAATTGAAAGGATCATGTATTTCTGTCATAGGTCTAGATATTTGAGTTGTGTCACATAAAAAATATTCATTTGAAAGGTGACCTTGTCATTCATTCTTTAAAAATATCATTTATAAAATTTCTATATAAGGGTCATGACCTGATGTTTACATCGGTTTAATGAATGTCCATATCAAAATTTGTAGAGATAAGATTAACTCCTAGTGTTCTAATATCACATATTAAAACTTGACTTTAAAACATAACAAGTACTTATTGAAATATAACCCTAAAAGTGACAAGTCTTTCATGGGAATGCAACAACAACAACCAAATATATTTTTTTATTTTCAAAGTAGAAAAGATTTTAAGCTATAACTTCTATAGTCTAGCAGTAAAAAGGTTTTATTATACATGTTTAAGGCTGTCAAGGGCACTTATATCTTATATTAGTACCTAAACATTTCTTGTTCTATACAACTTTGATTCCTAATTAACTAGATCAGATCATGATATATATGATATCATAGTTTATATGTACTAGTTGAATTTGACAATATTGCACTCACAGGAACCACAAATATTGGACAGGAAATCTGAAAGGTGAATATAGAGGCTTTCAGTGCTCTGACATATTCAAAATTATAAACACACTACTACTGAATTAGGCATGGATAATCCTAAAATATTCCTATCATGATATTGAAATTTGATATATGAATGAACTATGAATAACATCTTGACCTGTTGATGACCATAACACCATGTGAGGTCAGACTAATTCATCCTGAAGATTATTCCTTCGTTAAGTATGGGATTAGTACACTGTCAAGATTCACAATACTTTTTCAGTTTAATCTTACTTGTTTTAATTTAAACCACAGTATGTATAATACATAAAAACAAACTTCTGCTTAGCTCTGTTTAATACATGTACATCTATTGCAGAGTTAGTCCGAAACATCTGCATCTATTCAAGCCTTTGACAGTTTTCAGCTGACACTGCTAAAAGGAGATTTTCCACACCTCCAAAGATGCGTTTTTTCTAGCATAATATTGAATTACCTTGATTTTAAATTAGTGTTTTGTTTTGTTGGTATCACATGACTCTGTGACCTTTGAACTTTTTGCTACGCACGCAGTTTTAAATGGCCGATGCTATATCAATTTCTCAAAAAAAAACAGAGACATGACATAAATGGTGTAGCGAGAAAATGATGGTATGATGAACTACAAAAATATTCATCTTTCCAAATATTCCTGGGTTTTTCAGATCCGAAGTATCTGTATATGGTAAAAACCCTAGGACCTTCGAAGATGCAGAATGTCCCCATTTAACAGGGCCTATTTTTTCTGTTTCCACACCAGCTGACATCTGTCAAAACAGCTATCAGAGGCTGGAATAGATTTGCAGAGTATAAGGCATTTCAAATTATATTTTCTTTTTTGGACATAAAGTTCGACTTCAATTCAGACAAAATACTATTTTTCTTTTGATCAAATAATAAATAATGCATTCATGAAGAGTGTAAGAAAATGTGATTCTCTGAATCATTCAGTCTTTAACCTTCATTCATTCATACATTCATCTTTATTCATTCTGATTTATAGGTGTTGTACAGATCTATAAATATAGATTTAAGAGATTTATTTCCATGTGAGTAAACACAGTATAATACCCACATACTTAACTCTGTTGAGATACTACCTATCAAGGTTTAGTAACATTAGTATTTAGAGTATTTATAAGTATTTATGACTATAGTTATGAAATTTATTAGTAATAGCATGATACAATATATTCAATATTATACATACTTTCTTACTTACTCACAACACATCTTAACAACTATACTATTATATAATGTTAAAATTTAATGGAAATTGGGGAATAAACAGACCACTGTTCTGTCTAAATGAAGAAATTGGAAGGATTCCTTGGAAATGTCTGAGAAAAATTGCAACTAAATGTGCAGGAAGTGACAAGATGGGTTGTAAATTGTTAAACTAAGTTAAGTTTCCTTGTAGGTAATTTTTCAAAATCCCATTTTCAAAGTATAACTTACCAGAATCCTGCCTGTTGTTGTCTGACCAGATATCAATTCACCTGCCCAATCTTTGGCTTCAGTCATCCATCCGATTTCTGGATCAGCAGACTTCACAAACAATGGGTTGGACGTACCTCCTGTTCCAATGGTTGGAGATAATTTAGTATTTGAATTGGCAAGAGCTGACCGATATGATATTTGGTTTTTCTTTTTTCGACAAAACATTATCATTATCAAACGATATATAACAATTATTACAAATCCAAATGCAAACGTCACTAAACTTGATGTTAAGAATGCATACCAGTAACGATCTCGAAGACATTCTTCTGTGCTGTAAGGTGTAGTACCTGTCATAGTACTATTTGTAGCCATTGTAAATATTTTGTTCTTATATCAATATAAAAATTCATTCACTTCCTATTCACTTCTAATAAATAACATGCCTTTGAAGTAAAATCTGTTATTAAAATGTACTGAACTACAGACTTTCTTCACAGCCTATAGTAGTTAAACTCTATGTCTTATTAGTTTACTGGTGCCATAAAAAAACTACTCTGTGTCAATCTGTGGACTATATAAGAAATAAATGACAGGTCATATTTTTACATCATGTCATATCACAGAGTTTATATCGTCACAGATGAATAATTTACAATCCTGCTAGCTATATATACACATCATAAACTGTACATTTACAAAATCTATCCTACATTAACAACTATTGGATATCGCATCTTTTTACTGATATACTCTATACCGTTCTTATTCCACTGTTTATTCCTCCAAGCACCTGTCACTCAAACCTCTAACGCCATCTAGTGTTAGTCAGGCTACAGTCGTGTTGTATTCTTAGAACCATACCATACCAATAGTTGATCAATCAGTTAATACTTTAGCTAGACTGAATGTATATAATCAATATATCTTATAGTGCTATAGTAACAAGGAGAACCACAATAAACATCCGTAAACTTAGCCCAATAACCTTTTACATCACCTCAATATCACTTCCAGGAATTTATGGCACTCATTATGCAACCGTGCTACATCTGTTGTGCTATAATAGTACCGAAATAAAATTCTCCCAAAATAAACTACTCTTTCTTTTATAGTAAAATAATACTATTAAACAGTACACCAAAACAACTGAATTTTGTTAAAGTGGCAGTTGGTTTGAATTTGTTGTTCTGTTCGAGGTGGAACCTCATATTGCTTAACATTGGGAGAAAGTATTTAGTCACGATTCTTATTTGCATTAAGGTGGCATTTTAGGTGTCTTAACCTATATCCCACGGCAGTTGAACCATTTAAACTTATCCAAATGATTGTCCATTTTCATATCTGTAGTGTAGACCAACATATCACAAAGTTTGGTTAACTCAAGTGCATAACCGTCATAGATTAGTGACCAAAGGAACTCATGCTTTCTTCTTTTATACATAAACACATACAGTTTTTCGCCAAAATTCAAACAAAATCGAAAAGCCTCAATATTTCTTTCATATTCAAGTTTGACACAATGTAAAGGTACGCCAATATAAAAAAAAAGGTCGAAAAATTGCCATGATCGCCATCCTATACAATTTAATTGAATGTGGTAAAAGCGAATGAAGAGGGGATAGGGTGGCGATGAGGCGTTCAAACATTTTACATAGGTGAAAACTGAGGGCTAAAACTCGTGGACATTTCCATCTTGTCTCAGTCGGGGACAATAACTGGCTCGTCAGAAAAACAGAACGTCCAACTCTTTCGAAATAACCTTAAAGCGGCGGGTTTCACATATTCCATGTCAAGACCTATAATACTCCTAGAAGAATATTTGCAAAGAAAAGAGCCTTCAAATATTGGCCCACGGATTAATGTCTTAACTCTCGGGACTAATGTAATGTTGTAGGGGAGGTAACATAATTAAACAAACTTACAGACTACAACAGTTGAGCCTCACGAAAGGGAGAAAGAGACCACAGTTAATGTAGGTAGGGAGATAATTCGGCTAAGTGCTACAGACAGACTACAATTAAAGACTTGTCCTACTTTCTGATTTTCTATTTATATGCGGTTTAATCACGATATGATTTTTCTCACAAGAATGCACAATTCTAGAATTGCGGTATGTTAGTTGCCATGAAGATTTATTCCCTTTTCTGTGGGTGCACTTCAGAATAGGGCTTCCCCTTCGAATGTTGTACCAGCTGTTATGCTTACTTTTCCAAATTCAAAATAAAACCCTGTATTTTCCTCCTGTAAGTTATGTCATATTTGGTAAAACATTGTAAATAGATTAAAATAATTTCTGGAATGAGGCCAACAGGACGTCATGACAAATTCTTGGTACAGTAAATCTTAAAGTTCCCATAAAACAAAATAGGAAATATCTAAAAATATTCTGTGTCTGTAATTTTTCTATATTGCTCTACAATCGATTTATTGAGCACTATTTTAACATTGACAATATCATGTACAGAGCATGTTCAGAATTAAAAAAAGAATGACCAAAATCTGTATCACAGAGGTTTCTTCTAACAATTAAAGATCCCTTAAATAATGAACTTATTGTAACAGTGTTACATGGCATGTTCTGCTCGAAGTGAAGTATTCTTCACACAAATTCCTGTTAAAAACACGAACATTTGGTTAACGATTATACTTTTCTTTATACAATGCCATTGATAGTATATATGGGTTCTTCTTGACACAATTGTTGTATAATATATATCATTTAGAGGAGATATACTTAAAAATTCACCTTAACTCCGGAACTGGTACTTTAAACAAGAATTATAAGAAAAAATGACCTTTGAAAAGTCGTTCTTGGGTGGATTCAAGTACAGATGGTGAAATAATCATCATATATACACTGGGATATTAAAATTGTGAGTTATTCTAATTTAGACGTGGCTAATTAATCTGATATTTAGTTGGAATAAGACTAGTATTTGGGTAAGTTTAGTTTTACTACAATAATCAATAACGTTACTAGGCTTATAGAACTGGCTCTTGGACCACTATTCCTATTTCAAGGCGTAAACAGAACTTTTGTTTCTGCCTATTGATGTTTTCAACTTTTGTTGGGCTATCTTGGATCAGAAATATTTCTTAATGTTGTGTTTTAAATGATTTATAATTGCCTCGTATATATATAGGCCTATTAATTTTTGGATTTATGAGCAGTATCTGTATGTTTAGATATCGTGCCCCAATAGAGCATTCGAACAACTTTCATTTAATTGATGTTGATTACACACATGCTTATTTGAAACCCATCGTTTTTTTTCTGATTTTCCAGAACACAAGATGAAGTTATTAGCTTTTCTCAGTGTTTTTATATTCAACACAGTTAGTTCACAATATCAAGGTTTTCAAGACAGACGAGGTTTGCTTTATTTTATTTTGCATATATAATAAGTCACAATAAAATAATCTTTAGTCAACACGAAGACAAAGGAGTAATCTAGCACTGGCCTTACATGTTATTATGATTTGGCAAAAACAAAAGTGCTGTCAATCGTCTCTATTCTAGTCAGGCGCAGGTCTGTAGGGCTTAAATGGACAGATGCGCCATTTTGGGGGGTTGATTTGAGTGTTGAATATGTAAATAGTCTTCAGAAGTACTAGAAATGAAACAAAATCGCCTTTAACTGCTTCAAACTAGGAATTTTACTCACTATTTCTATATATGTCTTTTCTATATATCACAGAGTATCTTAAAATGACGATTATTCTGGACACTCATGACTTTGAAGGCTCAAATTTCGACGGTGAGCTGCAATGAGCACTATTACTGATTGGCTCAGTTAAAAACTAGAGAGACTAAGGTTCGATTGGTCAAAAAAAAATGTCACTTTAAAACGGCATTCATTTCACTGCCAGTGACAGCTAATGTTCTTTTTGGATGATTAGATTTTTGTATGTGTTAATTTTAGAGAGATATTGTACATATGGTGATAATATGTACAGACATGGACAAGTTGTTACATTACCAAGAAGTCCTTGTGCTACATTCAGATGTGACTACAATACTTTACGGTTGATCACACAAGGTAAATCAAACCTTTTCAAAATTTACCGTTTTGAAAGAAACAGTCCCAAGATTGATTTGCCGAATCCACGAGCCGCAAAAAATCTACCATCGGAAAAGTTTCAAACGTTCATGACCTAATGGGTCACGATGTGAAACATTTACTAATGTTCCTCAGTATTGTTGAATTTCAGTTTTTATCATGTTTTTAGAATGTGTTGACAGAAAAGGACAGTGTAAACGTGTTGGTGAAAGATGGACAGAATCCTGCGTGTCCTATATTTGTCAGACTAAAAAACGAAACAACAGACAGGAGTACCAGGCTGTTATATCTAATATGCGTGAGTTAATTTTCTTTCGTTGTTTCAATGCCACTACATATAACACGTATTCTGGCTCCCAATAAACCTATAGTCTGCGATATCAGCTTCTGTTGGAAGCGGATGTTATTTTGTATGTTGGCATCAAGCAACCAACCAACTATCCTTTCCTAAGACTTGTACAATTGGAAAACTGTCATTTAAATGTCATAAATCAATATAAATATTTGTTTTTCAAGATATTTTAAAAAGAAAAAAAGAAATCTTACAAAAAATTTAACGTGATAAATACGGCGCTTTCAAAAGCAGCTTCACTATTATTAATGAGCATGTAGCTGAAATTGCTTCAGAGTTGCATTATAAAATACAAATAAATATTTCTTTATTTTAGTGTGTACTGATTCAAACGAGCAGTGTCGACAGCCTGGTACCCGCTTTCCATTTAGAATCGGCAGCAGGGTGTACAGATCCTGTACTTGTAGGACATGGCTCGATAATCTTACACAAAAGATCAAATATTTCTGTTAAATACATCTTCAAAATTGTGGTTGTAATATAATAAGAATAATTTGTTGTCTATTTTTCGAAAAAATAACACACACAGATTATAAAGACGCCAGGGATTATCTTCTTCCAACGTGCATTTTATTCTTTTGTCATTCATGTTGTTGAGTGATATTTGAACTCACCCGAAATGAGCTGCTTTTGATAAAGCCTTTAAAACTCGAGAATGTGGTAACGAGACAAGTCAATTAGTTTCTGCCACAAAACGATTTCCTTGGATAAGAAACAATGGTGATACCTTATGCATAGTATAAAACTCTCTTCCTTCTGTCGCTGATCTTCGTCCTTATGGATCGAAATGGAGAACCAACAAGTTCAAATAAACGTTTGAACTTTGGATAGGGGTAAAAATTGATGTAATTGTCAAAGAGATGCCTTTAAGCCCTAAATCACCAGCTGAATATTATATAACACAACGTATGAAGATTTGACTGGTATCTCTGCTCTGTTTACCGGCTTTGTTTTGCCAAATTCAATATTTGGGTAAAGATGAGATTTAATAAGGTATATCAATTTAGGTCCCTTCATAAGTCGAAAGAAACATCTTTAACCGACAAGCCCTTCATTCAAACGTGACAGTCAAGCCCAAGTATGATTCTGAGATTATTACTGATAATAACAAGTATACATACACTCAATTATGTATTGATATAATTATATAGATAAATTAAGCAATCATTTACCGGTCCCGCTAAGCTAATTATAGAATCATTTACTATTTAATTATAATATTAACCTTTACTTTATAGTATCACAAATGATTGCACCGCTTCCCAAAAATACCAGTCTTTTGATGCGTGAAAGGTTGCTGGGTTACTATTTTATGACGCTTGGCCACTCGGTCCATGTCCACTACATGTTATACAAAATAGTTTTCACAAGAATGTTCCAAACTTGTATACCCACTATTAAGCTGTACTATTTTGAAACGACTTCGACGTGGATTTCTTATGTGATGACAGCTATTCCCCAAATCACTTACCCTTGTATTTATTGTGGGCGTTCATTGTGAGGTTTAATTTTTCAACGACAGGTGTCTGTTGTCAGAATGTTATGTAGACTACTAAAGATGGTTTTCTCTGGTAAGAATGCTAACCTGACTAGCTCAATGACTGTTCTCTGTGGCTAGAATATGAACCAAACTAGTTCAATGACAGATATCTGTGGCTAAATAATTACTTACCAAACTAGTTCAATGACAGATATCTATGGCTAAATAATTACTTACCAAACTAGTTCAATGACAGATATCTATGGCTAAATTACTTACCAAACTAGTTCAATAATATTGAATATGCTGAAATATCAATCAAACTAGCTCAATAGCAGTTTTCTGTGGCTAGAATATCAACTAAACTAGTTCAATGAGAGATTTTTGTGGCTAAAATTCTAACCAAACTAGTTCAAGGACTGTTCTCTGTGGCTAGAATACTAACCAAACTAGTCGAATGACTGTTCTCTGAATATTATCCAGACTAATAATAATAATAATAATAATGATAATAATAACAAAATTAATAATAACGATAATAGTAATAATAAAATCCTCAATGACAAAGGTGAAAAAATTGGGCAAAACGCCTCTTTTACAATTTTGCCCTGTGGAATAAAATTTCTTATTTGCATTCATTACAATCCGACCTTTTAATTGTATATGATAATGCAGGGTTGTTACTTTGGAGTCTGGATCCAGTAAAAGTCACATCAATTATTCTGTAATAATTAAAAATAATGGACCTCGACGTTATAAAATAACATGTTAAAGGTTGAACATCTGTGATAGTTTCTAGAACTGCAGGATCAGACAGTCAATGTAAGTATAGAGGTTTCTATAAAATATTCATATTCTTACACTGCAATTGCCTCAAGTAAAGCTATACTATATATATGTCATCTGTATGTAACTGAAGCTATTGATTATTACATCTACCATGTAAAATCGCTGGAAGCTGTTCATTATAAAATATAAAGTATTTTGAGTATGATGATTTTCAAATTTGATCGATTCCGTAAAAATATGCATTGACTAATCGTGAAGTACGTCATACATTGATAATTTTAAGGGAAACTGAGTCTCTATCTGTCATTATATGCTTCATTATAGACACGTCAAAATGATAATGTTAATTGGTTTGCTGTTGATTATTGGTTTTGTTGCTGGGGAAGAGAGGAAAAACTTGGAAACGAAAGATGTCGGTAGGTCTTATCGTCGTCTTTTGTTGTGTCTTTGTATATGACGAAAGATATGGTATTTGCTACCCTTGCTAAAATATGAGCAATATCCAAATGACCAGTTAAAACAAATTCATTTAAAATATGAACTAGTCTTTGAATGAAATTATCTTCAGCGTGATTTCGTCATATTTCAGATAGTTTCTGTTTTGTGAATGGTCAGGTGTACCATCATGGTACAGAATTTAAAAGTGGTTGCACCACCTATTACTGTCATGGTGGTCAGCCAGTGTTACGGACAATAGGTATGGTATACTTTGCTGTTACCTATTTATTTCTGAATGATCGCAATTATATCATGTAAATTAAGTAGCGGGTAGATTATTCACATGCTTTCCAGTGTTTTTAATGTTTTTTCTTTCGGAGAATTATTTATATTCCGGTAAAGGAAGTATGGACAAAATGGTCACCATAAATAATTAAATGTTGTTAACTTATTAGATGGTCCGAGGTTAAGTTAAATTATAATTCATATATTCCTACACTATTAATTAAATAATTTTTTGTGGACTTCAGATCTTGTAGACAAGAACATTGAGGTTGATTCGATGTGTATCTTGTAAAACTCACATCTCAATTGTTTCGTTAGTGATTTTTTAATGATAAGCTTTGTTGAGGGTTGCTTCCCTTGAAGTTGTTCAAGCCACTGGATTTATTTCACGATGCTATAAAATGCCTTACACTTTCATTATTATATCTCGAAGTCATTCTTGTTTTAGGACTAATTTTCATTTCCTCTAATATCCTTTGAGTATCTTGACCAAATGTTTCACTCATCCAGAAAATATCTGTGAAGTCCTCTTTGTCGATGCATTGAGCAGACAGTGCTTTGGTATTCGTTTCCATCGTTTGCTTGTAATGGAATGTTAAAATAGCCATATAATTTCTCCGTCTTAAAAGAAAGGTATCAAAATAACAACGTTGAAAAATATCAACGAGGACAACAGACACTGTATACCCTTTCAATTCATGTTAATCACCCAGGTTGTTCAATGAATGGTCAATGTCATGACGAAGGTTCGCGATGGAGAGATCAGAACGGATGTTTTGAATATACTTGTTCCAGATCGGGATCAAATGCGTGGAGAATTAAACCCATTCCTTGTAAGTAAAAGACTTCTTTCTACATCTTGGAAATAATATACTACCTAGCAAGGTAAGATTGACATCAACAGACGACTAACAAAAACAATTTGATATTTCAGTGTACATGTACATGTATACATGTATATAGTTCTTTGCAATGTTCGTCCTTCCGTAATATCAGAAATGAAAGCCAAATCTTTCAATTTCTCACTTGTAAAGAACATGTGAATGTTTATGGTGACGGTTAGCAGGGCGTAATGATTAAGTAAGCAAAATGTAAGTAAGAAAATGGATTAATTGTCTAATGAATCTGTTGTAGTATGCAGAGGTAACAATGGAGAGTGCCATGATATTAATTCAAGATGGACAGATGACTGTGTGACGTTTCAATGTACTGGTGGACACAACTCCGCCTCAGCTTCAACTGTTGCTGTCTGTAAGTCCTTTGATCTTTTCCGAAAAAGTCACTTTTAACACCGGAATGAACTAATGAACCTTACGAAAACGTCCTCAGCCCATCAAACCAATCTTATGTGAATTCTTTAAGATGTTCTCAAAATGTTATCATACTGCTCTAAGGATTGCAGAGCATCGCTTATTAGTCGGAACCACATAATATACAACTGAATGTGCCATTTAGATCATCCGTTGACGTTTGACGTATACATTCGACTTATTTCATGTTCACATCTGTCTGTTTCAGTGTGTAGAGATATGCATGGAAAATGTCATCAACCTGGTTCAGTCTTTCCGTATGTTATGCGTGGTGTGCCCTACAGACATTGTGTATGCCAGAGAATGGGAGAAAATATTAAATACCAATGCCAGTATTAAATTAAATAAAATTTGTGAAGTCACAATCTTTTGCTTCATCTTTTGCGATTAGTTTCTTCCTACACTTATGCTCAAATCTATCCATATCATGGTCTCAATATCAAAGATTTCGTTCTAACATATCGAGTTTTTGGGTACTTCTCATCATAAAGACTAGTGTCAGATGTGACCAAATTCGTAGAAGTTATATTCATCATTGTCTGATGAGTTCAAGAAGATCGAACAACACACTATAGGCCAGATAATTTCATTAGGGTACGGGCACACGAACAGTCGTGTTCCCGCACTTTCACGACCAGATTATCGTGTTGCCGACATAAGTTGTCGCCAATTACTTTATCATCTGCAAGACCGTTCGTGTGTCCACACCTTTAGACGGAACAGAGGACTGTGTGACATATCAATGTACAAGTGGACACAACTCCCCCTCAGCTTCAACCATTGCTATCTGTAAGTTCTTTGAATGGCATTTAGTAAAGGATATAATGAAAAAATTCTCATGGATTACAATAAAGTTAGTAATTGTAATCCATAAGAATTTCATTATATCTGTAAGCTGTTTGATCTGTACCGAACAAGTAGCACTGGAATGTGACCCTGGCGCTTTTCGGTACATCTTACTTTAAATTCTGTAGTTGGATGTGGCTGTATTATTTTTATTATTGTCTGAAGTTTGGAAAAGAATGGAACTACACACTATGGGCAAGATAATCTCACAACTTTGGATGTTAAGGTTCGTTTAATCTTAACTAATTTGATAAGTGTCAAAATCCTGATTGTTTCACTATTCCTTAAAAGACGTTTTATATTTTCTGTGAAATTGGATTAGATTCCACAAAGCCATTGTGCTCTTTAGAAAACATACGCCCTATTTTAACTAGTTAACCAAAAGTCGTATATTTATTTGATATAACATGAACATGTTTATCGTGTCAAGGTTAATTGTATATAATTCTCTCGAAGCTTCAACTTCCGGAGGTCCGGAATTGACCTTGTTTCTAAACAAATTTGTTTTATACCAGTTACAATAGGGTAGTATATGGTGACTCCAAAAGGCAAATCTTGACCAGACCAAAAATGTTTGTAGTTCTATTGATATTGGTGCTCGAGGTGGTGTCAGCAGTCCCTCGCCAGAAAAGAGGTGGGTTTCATTTACAATTACATTTTTCTTCGGTGTTTGGATCCATTTTTCCGAAGCTTGTTGATACTGATTGGAATTTTTGACACTTATTCGAGCTTAAGTATTTGGACTAAATTCTGATACACCAAACTGAAAGATTAGATCGATCCCGTCTAACAGATCGGTTGTGGGATAATAACTGGTATGCATAGGATAGTATGATTCAAATGTGTATTTCTGAAATAAATTGACAGAAGACTGTGCAGAAGACAATAATGAATTTCTATTATGATAACCGCAATTATATATCGTAACATAATTATTCTTACGATTTACATTTCTGTATCAGGAATGTCTGGTTTGCCATAAAAGTTAAAATAGAATGTATATTTAGATGGACTTTGAATAAAAACTATTTTGTATAGTATATGTGTCGTTTCTTTCTCTATCAAGATTAAATTTCGTTGTAACAAATTATGTATCATCTTTTTGCAGGAACATTTTGTATAATGCATGGCCAAGATTATTCTCATGGAGAGAATTTTACTATTGCTCGTTCTGGACCATGTGTTGTATATAACTGTAATCATGGATTAGTTAGACCAATTCAATTAGGTATGTCCATTGTGGTTTCAATGAAGGAACTTATTCCGATAAACTATTTTATTAATTTGTTAGCTTCCGAGTTGTGAGGGTGGGTAATGTCCATAAACACCAATCTTTCATGTTATGCCCAGGTGCTATTATTTCACAGTAACCTACATACTTTTTCTCTTTGAATCACATCCAATAACGATTCGTAATTTAGCAACCACTATCTTTGTGTTTCAGAATGTAACGATGGATCTGGGGGATGTCATCCTCAAGGTACTGAGAAAGAATTCAACTGTAAAACTGCTATCTGTGCGGAGAGGGGTAACACCATTGGATTTTATGTCACTCATACAAGTAAGTATTGCATTATTCGTAATAAACTACTAAATATGACTTATAGCAATAGTAAAATTGATGAAGTTTGATAACTCAGAAATATGTTTTAGTATGCATATGAATGTTTGCAAAAACAGCATGAAGATACTTATATCAAAATTTATTTTAGAATGTCGAGATCCCAATGGTGATTGTCATACTATAGGTGAGACATGGATTAAAGATTGTCAGCAATTTGTTTGCAGAAAAACAGGTCCAAGCACTTTCCGTATTCGAACATTGGGAATACGTAAGTAATTTGCTGAAGATCCTAATGTTTTAAAGAAAATGTGTCTCAAATTCAAGGCGATCTTGAGAGGTGCTATTCTACAAGGAAAACCAGTACGTACTGTCCGAAACACCCACTGGCCTTCCAAATCTTTTTTCCTCTCCTAAAACTCTAAACTGAGTTTCCCGATTTTTTAAGTCCGACTTCGATCCAAACATAAAGTGATGCAATGCCAATGATGTCCGTCTTGTGATTGTAATACCGATTTTATTATTGTCTTACAGAATGCCAAGATGCCTATGGAAACTGTAAAAATTTTGGAGAAAGTTTTTCGTATGTCATCAATAACCAACTATACAGAGAATGTACTTGTAATTTACTTGGTACTAGGTTAAGATATGAATGTGCATAATTCGATTATGGGAAACTTTGGAATAGAAATATTGTTGGACAAAACTGTATTATCTTACCCAATTCATTTGTTATGAATAAAACTATAGTCACTGCTATGATTTAATGTCATATTCATGAAGAAATATTACCATGATGGTGTAAAGCAATGATTCAGATTCTTAATAATATGGTAAGTTTTTCACGCAAGGGTCAATTCAAGTACTGGTGATGTAAATTAGAAATAAGATACTACAAAATGCATAGATAAATAAATTGTGTAAATTTAGGCAAACAAAAACCAAGTGGTAATTCTACAATCCTTGTCATTTCCAGAAGAAAACGATTAAGTCATTTGCAACATAATATTTATTGGCAAATTAAGTAAACATTCTAGAAACCGTTAAAGGGAAGCAACACATTTTCTAACATTTGTATCTAGTTCTCATTTCATTACCATATTTATACTGTCTGCAAGTACATCTACTGCGGTATCTACCATTCTGAACGTGTGGGAACTTCTCTCCTGGTCGACGACAATTACCGTGGGCATCAACACATTCTACAAAGAGCATAAAATGGGGCGATTTCCAATTTAAGCAATATATCTTCGATCCAATGATGATAAGCACTGGATTTCAGCTGTTAGTCCAGCTTGGAATGATCGTGTGATTATCAATTGCTACATAATACACTTAGTTAATAATTATAATATTTTAACAAACAACCGCTTCAAAATAGCCAGTAATCTACGATATGATTTAAAGTATGTTTATTGTAAGATTCGGGGTCAAATGCCCTTAATTCCAAACTGATATTTTCGATTAAGATACCAAAACTATCCATGACAAAGTGTCTCAATGTACTGTACTTACTTGCAGAAACAGGGCTGGCAACAAATCGGATTCTATTCTTTCTGTCTCTTCTTCTGTCACATCTATAAGTTGTACAGTCCTCGTTCCAGGATCGGCCAACTTGATGACACCTTCCTTTATGTTTACATTCTGTTTAATGATATTAAAAAGATAGTTATATGTGGAGTGTCAAAAAAAAAATGCAAAAAAAAAAAAACGTTCAAAAAGGATCGATAACCAAAGAAAGATAATTGTAACATCCACAAAAAACGGAAAACACAATATACATTACACAGCGAGCATAATAATAGCAAATTTGGGATAGTTGTAGGAAGGATATACCATACAAACGCAATTTTTAACCTGGCCAGCTAATCGAGTTGAAACAATTTAATGACTGAACTACTTACGATCCTGCTCTTGTCTAACTCGACCGTTATTACATCTAAATATTGAACAGGAATCGGGATCTCTCTGTCCACGTCCGTTCATAATAATACGACCTTGATGGTAACAATAGTGGGCTGAAACAGAAAAAGATACAAAGTTTAGGTATTTGAAAAAATGTATCTTTTGAAACCACTGCTTGTATGAGAATGTCGAACGCAGATTTAATAAATAAGAATATTATAATATATATAATCCATCATATACATGTACATGCATCTTGTACCTATTTTTATATGAAACTTTTTTTCTAATAGCAACAAAATACAAGCACCAAATATCATTTCCGGAACATTTGAGTAACTACCTGATTTTTTCTCCAGATCGGCACCATCTTCCGGTTCAATGGCAGTAGCATCAATATCAATAGTTTCAACATTTTCTGTATTCTCAGTTTCTGTTGCCATGGCAACTGTCAGGAGTACAGTTGCTACCAAAAGTCGTAACATTGTTGTATCTGAACAATTATTTATTAATATTATAATGCAATAAATGGAAAATAGTTGCATCTTAATATACCTTCAACTTCAGATGCTAATAATCTTGATGGGAAACTACATGAAGGTGTGATAATCTGCAATAATTCTCAATTTTTAAATATCTTGTATATATTATACACTTAATTCCAGTTTAATTTGATAAGATTTCACAGAAATAAAAATTCACATTTGGTTTGTCTTTACGCAATGTGATATTCAATTAGTGACAGAAGGTACATAACTTGAAATAAATTGCAATAGATGCTTAAAGTGACAGATGCGCCATTTTGTTTACCAATCGCACGGAAATTTTTCAGTAATAGCGTTCACAGCTCGCCGTCCAAATTTGAGCCTTCAAATCCATATGTTTCAGACTCAGTCAACCCCCCAAAATGGCTATAAGTCCCTTTAAGACTTTTTTGTGTTGATCTTAAGAGATTAAATGACCATGGTGGTGGTTTTCAAATCAAGATAAGACATAAGTAAGATAAGACACATTGGATATTCAATAAAGAGTTATTTAAATGTACATTTTCAACCGATCTGCCGGTATGTTTTTGTAGTAAATAGTCAAATGTTGAGTCTGAGGATGTGAGCCAGAAGAACAGGTTTTGCGAAATAAAAAAAAATAAAAAAATAAATTCAAACAATTTTAAATACGATTTTTTGAACCTAAAGGTGTTTTTCAAGATGTCAGCGTTGAATAAGTCTCTATATGATATATCAAAAAGGGTACATACCTGATTGTTTTCCGAGTAATAATGGGACCGAATTTAAAATAGTCTTTCTTATATAGTAATCGTCGTGATTTATGTAAAAACCATAATTATATTTTTTGGTGATATTTTATTTTTCATATATAAAACTTTGATTAGGACACGTGTATTTTAAATATGTATGAATTCCACAACACTAAAATTAACTAATATCAATTAAAGCATGTGTATAATTATCAAGAGGTGAGAATTACCAGTAGTGTTCATTTATGTTTTTAATTTGTATCGTGGTATGAAAATTGTAGATTAGAATTAAATATCCTTCGTTTAGATAATGTTGATCTGTTTTTAGCATTTTTCGACATACCAAGTGTTATTAACAGAGGCCACCAATCATACATACAACAAAATCGTAATATAATATCAAAAGCTGACATCAAAATCCGGACAAGATATACCATTCTCGGATGACGATAGCTATAATAACGTCATAAAATTATGAACGTCAACATTTTGAAGGATGTCTGTTTTAATAAGTCGGAAAGTGCCTGCTCGATACATAGAAACGTTACTGTTGATTGAGTCTCATATTATAATTGTCTCGAGGATCAAGCAGTGGACTGGGAATGTTCTTAACATTATTTCACATTCATCTTTCGAAGAAAATACCGAGCAAGTCTTACAATTCATTTACTAGGTTAGGTAAATATTATCAAAGACATAACGACCATTTTACAAAATAGTTATATCTTTGACAAAATAAGTTGTGTAATTACATCGTACAAAATACAAATTGGAGTTTTGAAACAACAAGGAGAAATGTAAGGTAAACAATTTTTGAAATATTAACAATATATTTGCATAATCTCATGATAACGACGTAGTGATTGTAACAGTCAAAAAATAATTAGGCTAATTCGTATTGCGGATAAAAATATGTTATTGTTTCAGGAAAGGACAAAGAAATTCGCAAAATCTGGATCTTGAGTAATGAAAAATTTGCAGTATAAACGACTTGATGCGATATATTTGACAGATTTACTCATTCACTTTAAAAATTGAAATCAGTTATGTACTTAATATGATAAAGCTTTCTTATTTTTGAAATAATTTCAATTCCGTATACATTACCATTGAAATGAAATATTGAGAAGGGCATGCCAATTGATATTGTCAATTAACTGACATCAGATCAGTAAATTTATAATGATTGACACTATAGGTAGATAATAGGACAATAAGGTTATCAGGATATATGCTATAATATTAATAGAGTTCAATATCCCACGCTTTAATCTCCAGCTGACTTAATCACCTCCCAAAAAATTAAACTAAGTCTTCTCATTTAATGACACATATAAAACCCTGCCCATTTTAGAATGACCAAATCGCCAGAGGTCAGATGTACAGCATGGTTGTCTTGAAATATTTTGTGTTTGCCATATTGTTAGCTGTTCATTCAGTCTATCCTCAAAATACATCATTTACTGAAAGCAGCACCACAACATACACGAGCATACGTAAGTTTTCTTTTTGCGTTGTTGTCTACAGACTCGATATGTTCATCAGTCGAAAATGTACAAGAGATTTGAAAAAGTGCGATAGTTACTACTGTCTTCATGTTCATGTAACCTAGAAAGCTTAGTTATTTATTTGAGAGTTTATCAACATCGTGAACAATCAATGACTTTGATGATGAATTTGATGAATAAATATTGAAGTTATGTTACTGTTGTTTTCAGCATGTATAGTGGAAGGTAAAACCTATGAACATGGTGAAATATTTAAAGTAAGTTTTAGCGGACCTTGTATAGAATACACATGTAATCAAGGCGGTTACAGACCAACAAAATATGGTAAGTAGGCGATTTTATGCGTTTACTTATCTCTATGAAAAGTCGTGGTCAAGTCGGGGAGGTCGTGACGTGATCGGGGTGAGTCGCGGCAAATTCGTGATGGTCGGGTATTGTCGAGAGGGCATATATATCAAGAAACTCTCATGATTCACACAAATCGGGGCTAGAATGTCGGGGCACAGTGATGGAACAGTCGTGATGGAATGGTCGTGATAGTCATGGATCCTACGAGGATCTTGCTCACCCCGATGAGGTCTGCTTGAAAATAGACTGTATATACAGGATTTGGTACGAACGTTATAGAGAACATAATAGATCGAGGTTGTGTCATGGTTCAATCGTGGCGCAATCGGATAGATCGTAGCTATGTTTTGGTGAGAACGTGGCTACGAACGGGTAATCGTAGTATTGTTAAAGCTCAGTCGTCAAGTGTTGGTTCTGATCTTGGTGTAATCAGAATACTGCCGTAGCTTGATCCGGTCTCTCGGGGCCCATTGGTGATAGTATTGGATAGACCCGTGGTTAGAATGGGAAAGTCTAATGTTTTAAACCGATATTGTTGACGATTCTATCTTGACTCATGCAAATTTTCTAAAAATTATAGAATCGAGGTTGTCGTAGCAATCATGTAATTGTGTGATAATAAAATAGTTTTATACAATAAATTTGATTTTTATGTTTTCCACCACTGTTCTACTGAAAACATATATTTAATTATGCGCATCGATTGAGTGATGAATCTATGAGATGGTCACATTCTTTGCATTTACTTTCTAAATTAATTACTCTTTTCTAAAAATGAGGTGTGGAGTGTTCTACGAATGAGATGTCTCGTATAGTCGTAAATACAAAACAAATCTGCAGTAATATTTCGTATCGCCAATCCCGTTGATTGTATTATGAATAGGTGGCTACCTTTCCTTGAGTGACACTTACATCGACCAGTCAGGATGGATTCGTTTCTTTTTTTAATAAAGTCCGCGATATATTTATGTTATAACGCAGCCTGTGTACTTTCGATCATTAGGTAACATATTGTTGTGAAGTTTACCAGTAGATTAATCTCTTTCTAATGAAATAATTCTTTACTTATTTGACATTTTTGACACTTTCTTTATTTTTGTTTCATACTTGAACCCACAAACTCAATGGCAATTCTGATAACTTTTCCCATTTAAAAGCAATACAAATCTTTTAATAAATACTTTGAAATGTTATTTGATTATTTATTAATTTTGTGTCTTACCGGTCTCATAGAAATATTCACTTTCAAAAAGAGACCAAACAAAATGCTTTCTTAAAGGGATGTACGAGGTTTTCTGACACTGATAGCATCAATTTTCATCATTCCAATTTTCAATCAGACGTCTGTGGTTCATGTAATTCTACTAAAACGTAGTGCTGACGTCTCTTATCGCTGAATATGCTTGTATCACAAAAGTCCCCCCACGATTAGTGACGTCATCAAACAATTAGTTTTAATGGAATTGCAAGAATCAAAGACGTCTGATTGAAAATTGAAGTGGTGCAAATTGATGTTAACAGTGTCCTCCATACACATAGATTTTTATTTTTAGAAAATCTCTTTACAATCCCTTTAATGTCTTCACGAAAATAACTTAAAACATCCAGAGAAACGATTATACACGAAATCCCATGATTTAACAAGACGGTGCAAGAAAACACCTTTGTACATATTTACGTAATCAAGATTCAGTCAACCTTTTATCTCACCGATTGAAATGCGATGTGTGACAAACCGCAGAGAGACTAGACTAGGAAAGTGTCTCATATTAAGAGTGCATTAACACAATGAGCAAAGGTGGCAATCCAGAAATCTTCATCTACTTCTAGGTCATTGTAAACAGCAATCTTAATCAGAATCGTTGGTACATTGTCACCTTGGTCATTTCATCCTCTCCATATTTTTCTGGTATTGTTTATTAACAATATTGGTGATACATTCATTGTACGTAAGTCGATTTCAACGGAAAGATCACTGAACAATTTCTATATAGGACTACATTTTAATTTGAATATTCTTATTCTAGGTTGCGATGATGGTATCAATGGTTGTCGTCCTGAAGGATCAGTTAGAACAGTACACACTTGTATTCAACAACGATGTGAACGCTCACAGACTGGTGTCGGGTACAGAACCCTTGTAGGAGGTAATCCCCTTTCAATGATACTGAAATATTGACTTAGTTATTTTAAGATATGCGTCGATTATATTTTGTTGTTTTTTTACATTCTGTAAAATTGAGGTGAAGTGTGGGTTACCCATAAAAGAAGTGCGTAAGCGCTTGTTATCTCTGGCTTACTTTTTAGTTCTGACGTAAAATATTGAATAAATGACTAAGTAAATAATATGTAGAGTACTAGACGTTGATTTATTGATATTGTATGGTAATTAACCTCTATTTAGACCGGTATAAAGTTATAATGATTTGTACGTTTCAATGATAACATCTTGTCCTGTATATTTTAGTGCGATCAGATAACTACAATAATTCTAACATTATGAAGTTATTATGATTTTTAGCCTTTGATTCAAAGATATCTTTTAGCGCCCTTTGGTCATTCCGAAAACCCACCCATAATATACTGCTTCGGCCACACATAAATAGAAAAACATAATCTTAAATACCTTAAGGCTTTAGTACCATAGTTCCCAAAAAAGACACGAATACCCGTACCAGAGAACACTTAGTTACGTGAGAAGCCCTACTGATATCAGTACTTTCTATCCAGTTTATGGTCTACAAGGATCAAAAGCCACGAGAGGTCCAATTAATTGGGAAACCGGGCCTGGATATGATGGCATCAAAACGATTAGCAACTTTTCCGATGCAATGATTAGTAAAGACATTGATTGAGATTAAAAGATAACACTTTCATTTCAGGATTATTCATAGAGCATCAAAGCTAATTTTTTACCTTGTAATATTAAATATATAACACGACAAAATTACAACTTTATAGTCTGAACGACTTTGAAATCTTAAAAATTGTAAAATTTCTCGTATCATCTAAAGTAATCATTGCCCGTTTACCATGACAAATAGTCAATGTAAAATCATAATCGGTTTTCTGAAAGAAGACGAGTGACCAAGCCTCAAAATCTACAAAATACAAGCCAATGGATTTTATAATTCTCCAAGCAACAAAGTTTACAGTTGGACGTCATTGGATTTTTTGATAAGGACTTTTTGAAAAAATGCATCATATTCGTTCAAACTTAAAGCTGTCATTTTGCAAAAAAAGATGTCAAATTTCTTTATAATTATGGTCGTACTTTATGATCTATCCTATAATGAAAAGTGTTATCGTTATTTATCGATATTGCTATTCTGGACATTAAGTGGGATAGTTTCATAACGAACTGTTTCAGATTAAAGTATTTTTTTTTTATTGATTAACACAAAAAACAAAAAATGGTCAGACATTTTGCTCATACTGAACCCTGACAGTAAGGGTTATTGTGATAAACTATTATGATAAAATCGGTGATCTTTTTTTTCCATTCTGTTTTATAGGTTGTAAGTTAAATGGTGGATGTCTATCAGTGGGAGAAACTTATAAAGATCGATGTTTTACTTACCAGTGTAATGAAATAGATAAGGGCCATTATATTACCTATCAGTTAGATCTGATAAGTAAAGGTAAGAAACACAATAAGGATGTGATACGAACTTTGATATTATTTTCAACAGATATATTTTGCAAATATCGCCTGACATTAGAATCTCAATCAATCATGAATGTTCCCCTTTATGAATAACCAATGTTTAAAGATTGGCATTTATTGCTGGGATATCACTGCCGTAATATTTAACTGTGTAATCATTGTATCAGAATATTTTCAATGCTTTCGATGCTTTTTCTTCAGGTTGTTTTGAAAGAGTTCGTAGCAGTGAAGAACCATATAGATGTGTTGCTGTAAATTCTACTATTACTGATGGTTGTATAACACGTCAATGCCAAGTTCAAGACAATTCATATTCATTGAGGGTCATTAACGAAGGTAAGATTGATTATCAAAGTGGATAATTTGATGTAAGGTGTATCATATAGCATAAAGCATTTTGATCAATGGTAACAGTATTTTCAAAATGATCCATGCCAACCGCGGATTGCACTTTGCACTGTGGGGTCATTAATTTAGAATAGTTTATTCAGATATATGTATTATTTACTAATCTATCTAGGAACTGGTTGTGTGGATGGTACAGCGTGTCGACCTGTCGACCAAGTCTGGACCGAAAACTGTGTTACTAAAACATGTTTAAGACATGATATTATGCCTGGTTACACTAGACTACAGATACACACTACAGACACAAGTAAGGTTTAACGAATTGAATTATTAGTACATTATACCATACAATTGATAGACTAAATTAAAGTATCTAAATTAGAGTATTGGATTATCCCTGTCATTCCGGATAGTCTAAAAACACTACTTTCAAGAACACTTGAATAGTATTTACCATAATGTTCGTCATAATCTGGTCATACTATCTGACAGGAAATCAGATTGGACGGATGATTAATACTAGCTAAGGATGGAAAACCTCTTCGAATCTTTTTAAATAGCAAGATTTCTTCTTTTTAAAGAGGAGCAAGTAACCCTTTCTCAAACCTTGTTATTTTATTTGTAGAATGTGAAGACACGACTGGTACTTGTCATGACATTGGTTCAACATTCTCTCGTGAATTGTATGGTGAAATTCATTCAAATTGTAGATGCAGTAAGGTGTACAACAACATCATGTATTCCTGTTCATAATAGTCATGAATATCAATAGACTTTATGTTAGACGAATTTCAAGAAATAATTGCATACCCTAATCATTATAGGTTATACTTTACTCTATTTTATGTCCATTGCATACCTTCAATTGTTTTCCCAAACCTTTACAATATTTGTCTTATATGCATTTTATATTGTTATATGTGATTAAAAGCTGAATAGTTACACCTTCAATTTATTTTTGATTTTCCATGTTCACGTTCAATATCTAAGCATTGTTCACCATTGTCCACCAAGACTACGAAGATGTACAATTACCGTAAAACAAGGTTACTTTTCACCTCTTGCTAACGGCTAAATCTACAGAAAATCTCTAGGTTTTTTGTGTGAATTACGTCGGTAATATATCTACTAATTTGATCTAAAACATACCTCGAGGTGGTTTAAACGATTCAGATAAAAGTAAATAAATAGCTAATGAATATAGTCATATATTAAATTGGACTTAGTTAAATAGTACCCAGTGAAGATCCAACACATTATAGGTATGTAAATACAACAGAGAAAATCCTGACAGTCTCATGGATACGAAATAGCATGGATTGCTTTTCATTCTGCATATAGTACCTTTTACTATTACTCGGTATCTTAGTCCAGATTTAGTTTTAAGATGACGAAAAACTGGTCGAACGAGATTAAAACCACCGTATCTATAACTCATTACCAATGTGAAAAATGCATTAAAACTCAAATGGTAACAAGATTTTCTTGTACAAAATGATTATGTATACCTTTTGATGATGACAATGAAAGACATGACTAAAACTATTCAAAATGGACTCAAAATAGGATATCTAAAACGTATGTACATCAAAGCTTTTTATAAACATTATCGCCACTGAACATGATTCAGTACAAGTGCAAACTATGTCGATGCATCATATTTAAGAATTCCGACATACTCTATATAACATGTTAACATTTTCTGTTTATACTAATATCAGAATGATTAGAATGCAGACTGGGCAATTTGGTTATTAATGAAATTCGATTTTCTCGAATTCGATGATATAAATTGGATTTCTTTGGTTGTTCAAATACTGTTGTCTAACCTTGTCTTGACAGCAAGGTTTGGCATTTTCTGACAAACAAACAATTGTTACGTAAATGAAAATAAATTCAAAAGTCAAAACTTCAAAGAATTTGTAAAGGCGATGTCGAAATTTTGCGTCATATTTTAAAATTTCAGACTGTGATTGGCGGGAAATCAATACGTAACATCACAAGCTGCTGCCCTGTTTTCAAAGAACACAATATACATAAACAAACAAAATAACAAAAGAGATTGATCCTTTCAATCAAATATCATCATAATAAAATTCAGATCAGAAAACAGATATTTAAACTCCGTCTGACTACCAGTCCAGATCAGAACTGAAAGTTGGTGAAACTTAAAAGATGATTTTGTTTTTATTGCTTACAGTATTACCCTTGGTTTCAGTTGGCGGAACAAGTAAATATATATTTCTGTTTTTATTTTTTTAATTTGATTTATTTTGGTAGGTCTGATTAAACAAAACAACGCCTATGTTTATATAGGTCAGAACCGCATTTTGTAAATTAGAATCATGATACTCAATCACGATATCCAAATTTTCGATAAGTTTTCGTGGCACATCCATTTTCGTAAAGCATGTTTTACCTCAGTTGATGGATTACGAAGTTAGAGATGACAATTTGAAAATGAAATTCAATTGTTCTTCAGATGCCGACTGTACAATAGAAGGTCAAACATTCGACCATTTAGAAACATTTACTCTAGCATCCAGTGGACCCTGTGTTCATTATATTTGTGAAAATGGTGGATATGGTCCAAATACTATCGGTAAGAATTTTTTATGCAATAGAATAGCAGTGTTCCCATAGATGAAAATATTTGATTAGTGTGGAAAACATTCACAAAAATGTTCCATGAAATGGTGGCACTTTCACTCTAAGCACAACCTGTCAAGTCCCCACTCGCACGATTCTACTACAAAGGAAAAGACATTAGATATAATTGGTAACTTAGTTCAAATAGATCTGTAGGTTATGATTTGATGGTGATAAAATAAGATGAGTTTGGAGAAAGGAGATATAGTTGACCAGAAATATGTGTTCACATTCGAATATGTATTTAAAATACTAACATGAGCAGTCCACTTAATATTTAAGACACAAGACGACCAACATGTTCAATTATTGTAGGCCTAAATGTTCTGAATCGCCGATGGATATTTTTGTTTCACTATATTTCATAATATAATAAAATGATGACTTACCTAAATCTTATTTCAGAATGTCAACATAATGGTGTATGCCACCCATTGAATTATACTGTCACTGGTTCAGATTGTGTCACCAGACGATGTGAGAATAGAAATGGTTATCTTGCTATGTATATTACTGCATCAGGTAAATATACATGATAAATCTTATCTTTACACAGTGAAAAAATAATCAATATGAGTACTCTGAAACAACTTCTTTGGTGCTGGAATATTTTTATCACCTCATACTACGGTATTACTGTTAGATTTAATTCCTGCATTAAGATTTCGGCTGCAACAATGAGACGAGACATGATATATTCAGTTAAGGAAAGGTGCTTGGTTCGTTCATTACTCACAATGTAGGGCAATATATCTTTTGAAACAGTTTGTTAGCTTCAGGATCTGGAAGGGGAAAAAATACAATGATAAATAGTTTTGTTTATGAACGGCATTTATAAATAGTATATGAAACATTAGGAATATTAAAATACAATCACAATGACTCGTGACATTTGCTTGAATTACAGATGTCATTCCATTGAAATGCTGTAACAATTAAATATTGTTATATTTATAATAACACTTAATTCACTATATGGTTTGAATTAGATTAATTTTCATTTCATGCCAATACCAGCTGTATTATTATAATTATACAACATATTTCACTTTTTGCAACGTGGCGAATTTATTCAATTGATACCTTATATATATATTGTTAATAAATCAGAAGGCGTACAGCTTACAATCTACATTTTCCCTGGTATATTTATGCTTGTTCAGTACCAGTACCAGTGAAATAGGTTGTTTGTCACCCAAAAATACCGGATGAGTTTGAGTTTCTGAAAATGAAATATTTGATTTATTACAGTCCCCCACCACCTTTTATTGTTTTATATACAACTTGAAGTATTCTTTATGCCGATCTTCTTACAACCAATAGGTTAAAAACAAATCAGATTGGACAATTATATCTGGAAGTCCAGCTTGGCGTTTTGACACATTTTGGAATTTTGGGCGATATTCATATCCGGTGTACGAGATATTTTAAACATATATCAGAAAAACATGAGATTTTCAAATCGCGATTATGTATAGTTTTTAGTTTATCAAATATGGTGATTAATATCGCCTTCTTAAAATCTTCACTTCAACCTCTCATTGAATGAATAATTTTAAGAACAAAGATACCAATACTCTTGAAATACGATAGTCGGATTTTCAAAACATTATTTCAACATGATTTTCACTAACGGACAAATAAAAATAAACGAGATAAAAAACATTCTGTGAACATTGAAATGAAGGATTGTAGGGCCTCACATACCTGTATAATATATTCATCTAATAGTCATCTTTGAATACAGTTCTAATTCGGTGTGTTTAATCTTCCAGCTTGTTCCCATAATAATGCCTGTATGGCCATTGGAACATCTGAGGTAGGAAGTGATTGCATCCAAAGAACATGTGAAGATGTCAATGGATCTGCCAGTTTGTCATATGTATACCGTAAGTGACGCTATTCTTGTTTTCTATAAAGTAATGTTTTTCTTTTCAGATGACAAAAGATCTAACTTTCTTTCAAAATCTCTGAGATATTTCAAACACAAAACAGATTTATTTAACAGAATAACTTTTGAAAAACCATCCTATATAAAATCAGCAAATCCAAAGCGAATTCTGACATTCTGATATTTTTGATAGGATCTTATTTGTTAAACGTATTTACCTTATTTTTATAGAATGTATGGACAATGGAGGATGTTTTGCATTAGGCCATGTTCAAACATCACAAGGTGGATGTACAGAGTATGTGTGTGATATTCGATCTGGAAGTATTGGCTTCTTTTTACAGAAGCATGGTACGTTTCCCTTTTGTATCATTTGTGTTCACGTTTGTGGTCTGTTTATTTGACCAGACCTACGTTCGTAAACGAAACGGACTTTCATAGCATCTCAGTGCTTCTCAGTAAACCTGAAACAGCAATTCTCAACGAGAAAGCATGGAACTATACAAATAGGTCGTGTATTTCTAAAGGATAATACTCTTGTGGTGAATTAAATAAATCTCTGGCCTTCTTTAATCAAATGCTAAAATTATTTTCAGATTGTTCCTACGAAAATCAATGCGTGCCTGTAAATGGAACAGCTGAAAGTGGTTGTAATGAATTGAAATGTCATCAATCTGGAGCTTCAGTTCAAATGGTTTTCTCTAAATTTAGTAAGCTTTGACTTTTAAATGAGTTGATAATATTTTATATGTCGAATTTGATCTCCCAGTTCTGCTGGAGTTTGTATCGTCACATTCTATCTGTCTTTCTTGAAATTTCTTTTTTAGACATTCTTTGGCTTTCTGTAATTTGCAGGATGTGACGACAACGGTCAGTGCCGAGATTTAGGTTACGTTAGAAATTCCAGTAACAGCCAATGTATTAAGCAAACTTGTGAAAATAGAAACGGTTCAATCGGATTCTATACTTCTACATTGGGTAAGTTATTCTACAGATTCATATATATTTAAGGACAATAGCCCACACAGTATTTAAATGTATACGTATGTGTAACAAAAAGCATGTAAATACACTATATTAGTTAAAGTAATAAATCAAGTACATTTTGACAATCAAATTTGTTCCCTTTATAGGTTGTTCTTACAATGGTCAATGTGTTGATGTTGGTTCCAGTGTAACTGAAAATTGTCAATCTAAAACTTGTGCATATGAAAATGGCTCTCTTTTCATGAAAAACGCCGGTGCTTGTAAGTATATTTAAACAATTGAAAAGTTTTATGGTAGTCTTTTATAAATGGCATGGCATCATTCGCAAATCGTTGCTATATTTTCTGACTAAAACATAAGAGACTGAAACTGGATATGATTATAGGCCCTATAACGAATTTTGTTTATTTGTGCTGTAGCCTGTGTTAATGCTGATGGTTCATGCGCAGCTCAAGGATCAGTGAGGTCAGATGGGTGTGCTGAATACACATGTGAACAAAGAGATAATAACATTGGTTTCTTTCTTACTAAAGAAGGTTAGTATGCAAATTTGAGCTTGAGTTACTGTCAATCAGGATTTTTATTATTATTATGCATCATGACTATGTTACGATCAGCCAGTTTTCTTTATCTGGTTAAAGTTTACGCAACGTTTCGACGTGTTTCCCCTCGTGTCCTCAGGCACGGCGGGGGAAACACGTCGAAACGTTGCATAAAACTTTAACCAGTGATTGTTGTTCCATAAAGCTGTGTCTATATATCGTACTCACAATTGCTAAATGCCATTCAAAGACTTTATCTTAATCTTAAATTATATATATTTGTAGCTTGTCCATTTGAAGGAGAATGTGTGCCTGTGGGTGGAACAAAAACTTCTAACTGTATTGAATATAAATGTACTAAAGACGGTTCTGAATTATCTATTGGTCCACACTCTAAACGTAAGATATTTCAAATACTATTATTTATATATCGACATGCATCATTCACATTAACTGCTACTGATCAGGCTAAGTCTAATATGTATTCTAATATCTATGAATTTGTAGAATGTACAGATGGAGATTCGTGCGTGCCTTTGGGACAAACCCGAGTTGTAGAATGTTCTATTCAGACATGTGAAGATCGTAATTCTGATGGTTTTGGATTTTTTACGACAGAAACAAGTAAGTCACTTTACATCTTTATATTGTGGGTTACCAAAAGTGTCTGTTTATCTTGTAGGGTCATAGTCCCATTCGCTTTATTAAGTGCATACATTGTATTTCAATACCCATATTATATTTGTTATTATATATGTTTTCTTCAGAATGCAAAGATGCTGATGGCAATTGTCATTCTGAAGGTGAATATCGAGCACAAGGAAACGATTGTACAGACTGGATCTGTACAGTCTATCCTGATGGTAGTTATGGTTACACACCAAGCAGTGCAGGCGGACGTAAGTAAACCAGATTTGCTCTATTTAATAATTTTTTTTCAAGATTTCGGTTCCCACAATCCACATGGTTTAGGATTTGAATATTAACATAATTTAATATTACATAATTATTTTATAAATTAAACAGTCACCATTACGTATCCTAAAGATGACGATTCGAACTTCCAAGCGGTTGCTATGTCGGTAGAGGTACGGGGGAGGCATGATTGTGTCCACATAGAAAAATGGTCTGTACTCTAAATTGTACCCCGACTCATTGCTTACAAATTTATAAATATGATTTTAAACGCATTTGCCCCTTAATATGTGTCTAATCAATGCACCTTACAAATTTTATTTTACAAAACCTTTCTCTGGGGAGAAAGCCTCTCAGATACTCCATGGGGGTAAAGTCAGTCAGTTTTACCCCACGTCTCGGGCGGTTGAAAACGCAACTTCTACCCAGTAATATGCGTATACTATACGTGTGCAAGCTACAGATAACTGGATTTCACACACAAGTTGTCAGAAAGAAGTGATGTTAAGACAACGTACGCTATTTGTTATGGATTAATATTGTTTTTCTTTGCCACAGGATGTGCTTTTGAAGGACAATGTGTCGAATTAGGATTTGCCACTACCGATGAAAACTGTCATTCATATGAATGTGTAAATACAGGATTGACCAACCAGATGCAGTATACTCATTCTCGTAAGTATCGGCTGTCGGGAAAAATCTTCGATCATGTTACAGATAAAGTAAAGGCCATTGACACAGTTTAATTGATCCAGCTCCAGTAGGGAACGCTAATCGATTGTATTTTCAAATTACTTTCCAACTTGTTTGGTATGACAGAAGTTCTCGACTTTCATTAACAAGTATCTGTAATTCTATTTGAACAGAATGTAGAGATAATTCGGGTCAATGCCAAAATGTAGGACATATATTATCACTGGGTTCAGGTGGATGTATACAGTATGAATGTCAACAGAGTGGCAATGTTATTGGTTATTATGTCAAGAAACAAGGTAATGTCATACCCTTAAATAATTAATATGTTAATTAGAGTAAGCCAACAATCGTTCGAACCTATCCATGTGGTCTTGATCTTCAACAAGTGACAAACCAAGCATTGTGAGCTTTTAAAGAAAATACTTAAATATAATTGGAAAATAAATAATGTAAGCAGACTAAAACAATATGCTTAAAGAAATCTGTGTGATAAGCTACAGAATATTTTTTTTCAGAATGTCATGATGGAACACAGTGTCAACCTCTTGGTCATGTTCATACTCTACCTAATTCATGTTTGAATCAAACCTGTGAAATTCAGAATGGTTATATTGGATACTACAGTGGCGTACTTGGTAAGGATCTTTGTTGATTCCTTTTTCTGAATTTGTATATTACATTTGTCATCTAATTATGATTAAGACTATAGTGACCTAAATTATTCCTATATTATACTTTAATTGTGAGTGAAAATGTAATATTTATCTTTATGTGTATAATATTATATTCCAGAATGTTTGGATGCTGATGGTACTTGTCGAGCTTTAGGAGAAACGAGATCGTACCATAATGGTTGTGTTGTTCAAACATGCAAAGACACCACCGCTGGTGTTGGCTTTGTTACTACTAAAGACGGTATGTGTTCTACCACATGGCTTAAAGCAACTGCGTATATTTTGTTTCTTTTGTTGCATTATGCTTACTGCATTCAGTGAAAATGAAAAAAAAACATATGAAAAAGTGAAAACAAATCACAATATTTTCATTTTCTATTAATACCCCTTATTATGAGACAAGCGATAATATCTTCGGAAGACGTACCTGGTATGTCATTTAATGAGAATAGTTTTCTTCTTTATAGTAATTCTATAAATATTGTTCCTATTTTTTTTTATATCCAGACTGTGATGGCGGAGACGGTACATGTGTCGCAGTGGATGCTACCATCAACGAAGAATGTTCGACAAAACAATGTGTTAGAGAAAATAATTCTAACATTTTGAAAATTATTGATTTAGGTATGTATAAAATATATATATTGCCATTTAGTGATGTTCGTTAGGAGTGATCTCATAAATCTGTCGAGAATAACGTTCCAGTTCTCTATTACGATTATAATAAACTTATTTGTTCTTACAGAGTGTATTGCTGAAAATGGTGATTGCAAAACACCAGTTACTTCTACATTCCCTTTCCGATTGGATGATAACATATTACGTAATAACTGCTCATGCACAGTGGATATTCCTAATAGAAGCCGTCACTACTCCTGTTCGTAAATTACAACGAAGCATTCTTATCTTTGAACTTCTCTGTTTCAATATATGATTTAACATATATAGCCTGTTCCAGTAAAAATTGAAGTATTGTATCAGGTGTATATTAAGGTCAATAAATAAAACTAATCTTTCCATCATTCATCTATATTTTGTTTTTTCCTTCTCGAACCATGAATATACAAACAATATACATATATAGAGGATCACGAAGATTGCTCATCAGTAACGTTACTGACGGGAAGTAACGGGAAGGGTGTCCGGGCCATGTCGAATATAGAGGATCGTGAGGATTGTTCATCAGTAACGTTACTAACGGGAAGTAACGGGAAGGGTGTCCGGGCCATGTCGAATATAGAGGATCGTGAGGATTGTTCATCAGTAACGTTACTAACGGGAAGTAACGGGAAGGGTGTCCGGGCCATGTCGAATATAGAGGATCGTGAGGATTGTTTATCAGTAACGTTACTAACGGGAAGTAACGGGAAGGGTGTCCGGGCCATGTCGAATATAGAGGATCGTGAGGATTGTTCATCAGTAACGTTACTAACGGGAAGTAACGGGAAGGGTGTCCGGGCCATGTCGAATATAGAGGATCGTGAGGATTGTTCATCCATGTCGAATATAGAGGATCGTGAGGATTGTTCATCAGTAACGTTACTAACGGGAAGTAACGGGAAGGGTGTCCGGGCCATGTCGAATATAGAGGATCGTGAGGATTGTTCATCAGTAACGTTACTAACGGGAAGTAACGGGAAGGGTGTCCGGGCCATGTCGAATATAGAGGATCGTAAGGATTGTTCATCAGTAACGTTACTGACGGGAAGTAACGGGAAGTGGGGCCGGGCCATGTCTCACCCACCAGAAAAGAGGCTGGCCAAATTTTGCCTCCCCTACTTTCAAAATTATTAACAATTTTATCCCTATTAAATTTAAAAAAAAATTAAACCAATGAATTACTTTATTTTTATTTGGTAGTCTGGGTGCATACTGAACGATAATTATGTCCATCTAAGTTACAGGTACAGTCAGTATACAATCTACCATGTTTTACAGTACTGTATCCCTTTTCACCAGCCTGATGACATTTACCCGTGGTGTCAGTGCAACCTACAATCAAAAGTATGCCTCTTTAAAATAGCATTATATTGCTTAATGCTCTCCTGACATAAGAATTTCATCCATAGTAGTTTCAGTAACATTTTGAATTTTCGATGAAGCCTGCATTTAGATATAAGTTTGTTTTGTAAAGAAAGACACTGATGTTGATATCACCGACGTAATCTTACCTGCAGGAGATCGAGTCTGTATCAGCTGAACACTTCCATCAGGATAATCACGTTTATCACATTTAACATTAAGACATTGTTCAGTCCATGACGATCCCACTGGTTTACATTGCCCACCAATTTTACATTTGGCATCTATAAATAAAAATTGATGTTTTAGATTTCTAAACAATCACATAAATGAGGTTAATTTATTGTAAAAATGACGTGGTTTAAAATCAAATTCTCTTTTGAGTATGATGACAGTACACATATTTACCATGAACTTGCAACCTATAGGTGTTACCATTTAAACTACATCGCTTAGTGATACAATCTTCAGTGACTGACTGACCGACTGGAACACACTCATAACTTCGACCATTAGATCTTACCATACAACCTGAAGAACACAGATTAATTAAACAGCGAATAAATATAACAAGCAATAAATAGTAGCTCTGAGAAATCCCGAATTCATCAAAGCTGTCTCAGAGTGACATTCGATGTGCTGGAAAGGTTACCTTACTCTGCCCTACGAGCGACATCCGCCATTCTATTCTTTTAGTGGAGCTCAAATAAAAAAAAGTCTTCGGGTTTTCACCTTAGAGCTTAAAGCTAAGAGGTCGAAGAATAATTAACTTTAGGCATGGTAATTAGTTGTCTCACTAAAATGTACTTCTTGACAAAATATTTTGTACAATATTCCATATAATCTAGTGATTGACCGGACCTTACACCATAGACCTATAAGAGTTATAGTTCTATGAATACACAAAATAATGACCTACCTCCTTCAATTAAAACTGCACGATAACTAAAGTATTGACCATTGTTAGTCTTAGAACATTGATAATTAAAACATTGTTCAAGTAGTTTCTCCAACATTTAAACATCCGTCGTTGAAAGTACAACCTAGTAAAACAAAAGGAAATTTCTTCAAATGAATAATTTTCGATTCGTGGGACACCATAGTTCAATCTGAACACTTACATTAAGCATGACTTAGTGTTGTAGCTCATGTCGAAAAAAGATGGTGGTGTATCTCATCTCCGAAATGTGCTATACTATAACCATACAGTCGGCCTGTTATTTTTGGTGACCACGATCATTACCAAGAGGTTTTTATCAAGCAAGGACCAGATGAAGGAAGAGATGATCCTTTACTGGTGTTAACTATATTTCTTTATTTCTAAAAAAAAACTCGCCAAACCTTCTTTAGTGGTTGCAAATCCTACATGACCACCACTAGTCTTACATTGTTGTTGAAGACAGTTGGAAATTTGTTTGATGGAGCCAATTGGCGTGCAGCTTCCATCATCATTACTACAAGCTTGAATGAAATAGAAAATGTCTAAATCAAGATATTTTGTTTTGTGAGTGTAGCAAACAGAACCCCGGTTTATTGAACATCAACGACCTCACTGATAGAAGCTGAGTTTATTGTGACCTATTTCGTGAGGGGTAAATCGGTTCATTCTGACATATCAATCATAAATGGAAACAAAGAGCAAACATATCAAAAATAGGATAGAAATCCGTTTCTGCTAAATTAAAAGCTTCACTTTACAATGTTCATTTAAAGCATAAACGAACCAAAATAAACTTTAACCCAAAAAATTAATACAAAACTTACCAACAGATGTAGCTGAATAACCACCATTTTGACATGTATATTCTATACAAGGTCCACTGCTACTAATTTGAAACCGCCCACCATGCGATATCTTTTTTCCAGAATCTGGATGAACGCATTTTCCTAAGGCGGCTGTAAAGAGTAATCAATTCTATGAATTCATGTAAACACCTATTAAATGTTTTGCGAATAAAAAATATTGGGTCTGAAAATTTCAAAAGAATATCAGAATGTTTGACAAAACAGAACATACCTTTTCCTGTAAATTTAGCAGTAATGGCGCTATACTTCTGGATAGAAACAACCATGCTATATCTATATGACACTGCAACGGTAGCGATCACCTGTTGCACCTCACAATCTGTTAAAATATTTAAATAGATTTCATGGTGATATGATAATATACACTACAAGATTAAAATTTGAATCAAATGTGCCTCTTACTGAGAAGGGCTTCATACCCAACTGACTATTAACATTTTTTATGCTGATCTTAGATTGGTAAGCCTACACCTTTCCAAAAATCTTTATTTTCATGACAGCTACATTCAAACAATTAGTAATAATAACTTTCGAAGAAAAATCCCCAAACCAATTACTTTTTTCCCGCCAATCACATTTTAAAAAAAAAACCTCAACTACATACGAAAACCTTAAGATATAAAACTTACCCACGGTGCTGATTAGTGCTAAAACAATTACTATGAACATATTGAAACCTCAGAAACAAATGATTAAGTTCAGAAATTTATTCATATATATAAAAGACTGATTTTGCAAAAATATTGCAAACTAAGATTAAGTAGAATAAACCAATTTTTCACATCTATATAATGCATGTTAACACATTTCTTTATAATTCCACACAACTTAAAGAAAGAATTTTCACATCTGGTGCACAGTTCATCGTCATTTGTGTAGTCTTCATTTTTCATACAGTTAAATTTCGACAGTTTTCAAACGTATTTACGATTTGAAAGTCAGTTTGTAATATTGCCATATCCTAACGTTGAAGTCTGGTCGTGTCACATAGCCTACACTACATGTTCCATTTTTTATCAATTATTCTTTTTCCCATTAATTGTTGAACTTATTTTGTTATTTTAGAACGCATATCCGAGTAATCCATCACTTTAATGATAGTCTTAGTTTAATGAGGTGGAAAGACAAATCGCAAATCTGTGGATTTAAGTTGAAGAAACTTGTGGGATTACTACAGATAAGATCAGAAAAAAATATAATTGGTAGTTCTACAGCAGGTGGTAATTGTAGAGCGGGAAGACCGTGGGTTGACCATACCTCACATCTGGCATCTTCCACAGTGCCTTTTATATACCCACAAGATATGGCGAGAGAAAGAACATATTTTATAATTACAACTATATCTCTTAATTTTAGAAATCTTATTCATTCTAACACAAAAAATTTATGAATGATTTTATTAATTAGAATAATTATTTATTGTGGACATTGATAAAATAACGCAGATAGGATATTTATGGTCATTTATAACTGGATTTGCGTTAGGCCATAAAGATTCCCTAATGTCAAAATTATAATGATTTTGCTTACTAAAATTAATGTACACGAAAAGAAAAAAAAAAATACTTCAAAAACTATTCATTAGTTGTCATTTCAAAATTTATACACAGCCTTTGGCGAAATTAAGTCTAGTTTTTTTTTTCTTACCAAATTCGCAAAATTCAAAAGAAGTGTATGACTTAAGGTTGAATATCATTCTATTACTGCAAAATAGTTTTGTACAAAATCAAAGCTGCAAATAAGCCTATATTACCTTACTGGCAAGCTATCTTTATAGCAGTCTAGTTTCATTTTTATTGTTAGATACAATCTTATCCTTACCAGCCAAAAGGTTTATTCTTCGAAGTTATATTTTTTTATCACTAAAATAGTCAGTCTTTATCGTATTAGCTATATCAGATTCTATATACACCAGCCATATACTGGCTCATTGGCAGCAATCTGAGGTCAGAATAAATGTCAATGCCCTCTAATTACAATTAAACTTTATTCTGTTCGGATTGTTATGACATCAATGTTAAAGGAAAATAAATCATATTCATAATTATGTTCAATTTTACCAGGATAAAAGCAATTTTCTGATTTATACTCATGTCATACTTTTAAAATAGATCGACTAATTTATCAAATTTGCCGGTCAAGTCAAGGTATAAATTGAACCATTTCTCCTTATTGGAATTATTAGTCTTAAAACACCACAAGCCATGTTGATGTTTACGAGTCTTTTATTTGTTTGCTTTGCATCTATTTATGCTGGTGAGAGTGTATACCCTGGTAAGTAATTTATCTCTTGACCTGGAAATATTTGGCATAAATATATACTGAGTACTGGGTTTTAATTAGAACAACATGAAATGATATTCAGATTACGAAAGAATTGTTGACCAATTAATGATTTGATAACCAGGTAGTGACTTGATGTCCAATGATTTGATGACCATGCAGTGACTTGATATCCAATGATTTGATGGCCATGAAGTGACTTGATGTCCAATGATTTGAAAACCAGGTAGTGACTTGATGTCCAATGTTTTGAAAACCAGGTAGTGACTTGACGTGCAATTATTTGAAAACCAGATAGTGACTTGATGTCCAATGATTTGAAAACCAGGTAGTGACTTGATGTCCAATGATTTGAAAACCAGGTAATAATGTATTTAGGAATATTATTAACTATGTTTAATGAGAAAAAACCTATTAAATGGAAGCACATTTTTTTCTGTCACAGACTGTCAAAATCCCGATAATAATGAAAGAATCCCAAATGGTAGCAAATTTAAGCTAGAAAATTCTGGAGATTGTATTGAGTTTACCTGTAAAGATGGTGGATATTCTGCCTCTTCTGTTGGTAAGAACTATATTGGTTTTATCTGTCTGTGTTGTTACATCATACAATTCATAATTCATAATAGAATTCAAAATTTAAAAAAAATGGTTTGATGGGAACTCAATCCCCCATAAAATTGATAGTGTTAAGCTAAGCTATGTCAATACATAAGAGCATTGGAAAAATAATACCAAGAAGTCTACATTCAGTTTTGTCCAACTCGATAAAGACGAATGGCGCAAAATCCTTACGGAATTCGTGTTCTCTGGATAGAACTACTTAGGTACTAAATTAATATTTTGCAGAGTGTGACAATAATGGTGAATGTGTGGCAGTAGGCCGGACAGTTGAAGAAAATTGTAGATCCAAAAAGTGTGTTTATGATAAATTTGTTGGATTTCAAGTTACTGAAACAAGTAAGTCAGAATCTCTTACCTTTATTTCGATTTATATACTAGTTAGTTCTATCATTTGTTTAAACACTGTCTTAATTGATTATTTATTGAAGTTCACAAAAGCTACAAAGATACCAGAATATATACATTCCACACAATTCCCACTTACACCCTTTCTTGGTGATTTCGGGAATCTCTTCTGTTGATTGTTAATACGAGGCTACTGAAAGCCTTAAAATATCTTCAAATACTGTTATATTTTTCTATATTATTTTATAGAATGTGAAGATGACGAGGGACAATGTCACAGTCCAGGAGAAGAATTTACCAGAACTTATCAAGGAACAACTTACTCAAAGACAACATGCACCGTTGATGGGAATTTGGTCAAGTATTCTTACAAAAATTAAATTGTTACTTTATTTAATAAAATAATTTACTTCGACACTCAATACATAAATCGTACCTTTATTTTATTAATCTAATGCTTTTAAAACGTACAACTGAGTGTGAATTTACCATTTGAAATCCTGCAGTGACGTCATACCAATGTTTTGGTGGGATTTTAAATCTCATAAAAAATCCATTTCTTTTAAAGTCCAGGGATCATATGTAAAATTTCACGGAAGTTACCAATGCTACATTTGACTGCAGAAGGTCTTATCAAATATAAAGTCTAGCTAAATGGTAGCCGGCAGAATTGACCACGTTTATAGATACAAATTGCAATCTTTTGCAATAAAAAGTCTCTTCCCGAGAATAATTTGGATTTACAAACAATAGACAGCTGTTTATTAACTCAAATGGACATTGTTACGTGCCAGTTGTGTACGAGCTATGCGTTTTGTAATACGTTATGTATGGAATTGTGACCGTCTTTCTCATCACCTACTTCCCTCCACTCGCAGACCATTCTCGTATGTGGCTGTAGGTGTCCTAGGAAATGGTTTCAATTCGTAGGAAATGATTTCAATTCATTTTTCATAACAAGGTTTAAGTCTAAGGTTCCAGGTTAAAAAGTAAGTCTAGCTAATTGGTTATTGAACTAACGTAGTCTTGAAGGCCCCCTATTTCAATATCATTTATTGTTTTTCCAGACAAACCAAGCAAATGACTCCGCGTCGGTTTATACGTCAGATAAAACACTTTCTCTCGGAAACTCTTTTGGGATTCCGGATTTAAAATATCAATCTCCGTCAAGTTCTATCCTATTAGATTGCGCTACGGAAGGGTGTTATCCACTTTTTTCACATTGGATATTAACAATAGTAATTAATATTATTTTTAGATTAAAAAGAATGTACAAAATACAATTTTGACCTTCAACATTAGAAGAAACAAGTTTGATACGAAACAGAAACAATGAGAAAGTATTTAAATATCTGTGGGAAAGTTTCGTGTTTACTCTGTAATTATTACTGTAAATCAAATCCCAATTTCAATCGATTAGCCCGGTGGTTTTCGACCCGTTTTGTTAAAATGCTGCAAATAATTCTACCTTGCAGTGCAATGATTGTCAAGGCCATATATTGTGTAGTCATTTGAGATGTTGTCTATATTGTAGAGGGTGTGAAACATTTAATGCACCAATTAAACGTTATTTTTCTTCTTCGTACACCCCAGTGCGTTACGCATACCCTTAGATTTATATAGATACCAAAAATTGGTTTGATTGGAGTGACGATACCCCATTCATATCACACAGAACGGCTAATGCCAGATTTGTCGGCACAGTACCTGCAGGTGCATGAGAAAATATTTCAAAGCATGTCAGTGGTGGTTGTCGTTCTGTTCATTGTCAATTCAAAGCTTTATTCAACCAGACGGAAGTTAATATGTCTAGCAATGTAACTCTTGAATGATTTTGGATTGTTCCAAAATAAAAAACAAATCTTTCACTGGTTACCATTAATCTACTTAATCCTTAATCCAATTACTGCTTTGTATTATCAACAGTAAATAGATACCAATATGCGGGAAACCAATCGGGTATAAATATATCTTTACCTTGCTATAGATTTCATATATCGAAGTTGTCTCTAATCTTCCAGATTTTAAAGTCTTAATTTTAGTTGTCTCCAATCTTCCAGATTTTCAAGTCTTAATTTCACTTTTACTCTGCGTTCAAAATGGTGAGTATTTTGTAATGTTTATTTTGTCAATACATGCACTTTTTCCTGGGAATGCGAAAGAACCAACAGTTTCCTCTCGTATTTGACCAAACTTGATTTACCTTTTCATTTCTGGAGTGTTCGACTTTTCAATTAGCTTTCTTAGTTATTGCTCTTGACCTAGCCTTAAAACATTTCAGAATTGGCAGGTCGACCCAATAGCAACTACATGTTTCATATAGTTTTCATATATATATCTTGGTAAAGGCATGTATAGTGGCTAGATCTTAGATGAGTTTGTAATATTTTTAATTTTTAATTTAAAAATAAATTTTGATATCTTTCAGCGTGAGTGTATTTCTATCCATGTTGGTCAAGCTGGTGTCCAGATGGGCAATGCCTTTTGGGAATTGTACTGTTTAGAACATGGTATTCAACCTGATGGCCAGATGCCCTTTGATAAAACAATTGGAGGTGGAGATGATTCTTTCAACACTTTCTTTAGTGAGACTGGGGCTGGTAAACATGTTCCAAGGGCTGTATTTGTAGATTTGGAGCCGACTGTTGTTGATCTTTGTTGATGGAAAGACTGAGTGTCGATTATGGAAAGAAATCAAAATTGGAGTTTGCTGTTTATCCTGCTCCACAAGTATCAACTGCTGTAGTAGAATCCTACAACTCCATACTAACAACCCATACCACTCTGGAGCATTCGGATTGTGCCTTCATGGTGGACAATGAAGCTATTTACGATATCTGCCGACGAAATCTAGATATTGAAAGGCCTACTTACACAAAACTTAGATTGATTGGTCAAATCGTCAGTTCCATAACTGCTTCACTTCGATTTGATGGTGCTTTGAATGTCGATCTTACCGAATTCCAGACCAACTTGGTGCCTTATCCTCGCATCCATTTCCCATTGGCTACATATGCTCCAGTTATCTCTGCTTAAAAGGCCTACCATGAGCAACTTTCTGTTGCTGAAATCACCAATGCATGTTTTGAACCGGCTAACCAGATGGTAAAATGTGATCCTCGTCACGGAAAATACATGGCATGCTGTATGTTATATCGAGGTGATGTTGTACCTAAGGACGTCAATGCCGCTATTGCAACCATTAAGACCAAGCGAACCATCCAGTTTGTTGACTGGTGTCCCACTGGTTTTAAAGTTGGTATCAACTACCAGCCACCAACTGTGGTTCCTGACGGTGATCTAGCTAAGGTTCAAAGAGCTGTTTGTATGTTCAGCAACACAACTGCTATTGCTGAGGCCTGGGCTCGTCTTGATCACAAATTTGATTTGATGTATGCAAAGAGAGCTTTTGTTCATTGGTATGTCGGTGAGGGTATGGAAGAAGGTGAGTTCTCGGAAGCTAGGGAAGATTTAGCTGATCTAGAAAAAGATTATGAAGAAGTGGGTGTTGATTCTGTTGAAGGTGAAGGAGAAGACGGAGAGGTAGTGGAATACTAAACATTTTAATGTCTTTTATTGTCTATTGTCAATACATATTGCCTATTTATGTGTTTTGCATGATACAATTTGTTATTGGTTAATGGTGTCCATTACTATGTGCTGAAATGGGGTAGTAATCTCAAATAAAAGCAATAAAATCTGAAAATCAGATTAGTTCACATTTGCGAATTTGTTAATCTAGTATCTAGCTTTTGTCAACATGCCCCAGAATGATTGTACGTGTAAGCAATGTTTAATTTTTAAGCCATAATCTTATTAAAGTGGTAGCTTCCATTTATTTCATTTTCAACCCTTGACACCCCTGAGTTGTTAGACAATCATTCTTCACAATGTCAAGCTATTACCATGACTTCAGTTGGCTCTATTTTTGAACCACGGCGGGCAGTGATTTGATTAAATTTTACTCTAGCGAATACAGCCAATGAGAGCCATCGGAATAAAGAAATCTCTGATTGGCTGTATCTCGTAGAGTACAAACTAATCAATTCAGTGCGCTTCCGCAATACAAAAAAAGTGGTTTATGAAGACATGGTATTAGACACACGGATACGCACTACGAACTGTTAGCGGTATGGCACCCTCCATTTCAAATTGAACATGACAGCGCCATTGCGGGTCTGTTGAAATGGAGTCAGTGTTGATTTAAAGCTGGTTGATATTTCCAGTTATTCTATGATCTGAATTTTTTGGCTTTTTGCTTTCTTAACGTTAGCTACTTTTCATACAAAAATTATTTCGTTTATTTTGTCAAATTTATTTAACGTATTATCTAAATCATAACTAAAAAGGCACATAGGCACAGGCCTTTGATAAACTATAAATGGGTTAAATCGATATCTTGTCACGTGGAACAAATTATTGGAATACCATTAAAAAATTGTTTAATGACGCATGTAACTTCTTCTTACTGCAAGAAAGGACAACCTGTTCACATGTTAAAATCTATTCCAAATTAAACGAATTTTAATCAAGATTTCTATATGTTTAGCAAATAGAATATAAAGTCGGAACAATAGAGTTCATATCAAATTAATGAAGTAAACAGTTGGTGTAGTCATATTAATATCATTTTTATAGTAAGAAAAAGTCATTAATTGATCCATTAATAATGTATATAAACAACTGAGTTTCATTGAAAACCAGACTTTATTTTCGTTCTAACGGAGACCAATAACAGTGGTATTAAAAATGGCATCTTGGCAATTCATTCTAGTTGGCGTTTTAGCCGCCGTAGCTTTAACATCAGCAGTAGGTCAGTATTCTTAGATATAACTGATAATAACACACTGCACATTTTTACAATTTGAATTTTATAGCGTAATGTTGTATTGTACGTATATGTTCAAAACAAGGGGATGCCAGAGCAGTTTTTTTGACCTGCTCATACAGTCGAATGTTGGTAACCAAAAGGGAAGGCGACAGAGTCGTAATCGTGCTCTTGACTACGACAAATGTTGTTTGCTCTAAAACTTTTGTTTTGAGGCCCGGTAAAACAAAGTTAAGTGTGGTTAAGTTCGGTTTTATTTTCTCATCAATAATAATTCATCAATTCAAGGAAACAATTTTTATTCTATAGATTGTGAATATGAAGGTAAAACTTTCGCTGATGGATCTAAATTTAAATTACCAACAAGTGGTAATTGTATTGAGTATACTTGTACAAATGGTGGATTTAAAACCACCAAAAAAGGTAACTATCAAAAACATACATCTTTAGTTTGTATATAATTTCTTCTTGCCAAACTTTTCTATTACAATTTTTATGGCATCGAGCAAGACAACAAATTCATATTTGAGGGTCAAACAAAAAACATGAATTTAAAGGAATATAAAATACAGGAATCGGAATCTGTGTAGTAATGTTGTTTGACTTCAATAAATAAATGAAAAAAAAAAACACACGGGCAGGACTGAACTGCTGCTTGAACTGAAAATGAGTTGAAATGTTGTTTGACGTATACGGGAGCTGAAATAACCCGTTGAAGGTATTCTGAGAACTGAACAGAAACTTAACTTTTTGAGGTAAACTGTTTGAACTGAACAGGAATTTAAGATAACCTGTATTGAATCTGTTTGACCCAAAGTTGAACCGCTGTGTTCAATTCAATTATAATATACATAGCAATATTTTGTTATTTACTGTTGTTGAAACTCAAGATGTCCAATATTTCGCTCCTTCTTTTTAACTGTAACCATTACATTTTAGAATGTGAACAGGGTAGTTCATGCTTTCCACTTGGTCATGAAAGTGTAAATAATTGTTATACAACAGTTTGCCAACAAAATGATGATGGAAGAATTGGGTTTATCAACAAAGAAATAAGTAAGTTAGTTAAAGATGGATTCCCTTATTTTCATTTATGAATATGAAAATGCTAATACTTATATGAATAGAAAGTAGAGGTGTTATAATGACTTGGAAAAATACCAGTTTGTCTCACATGTCAGTAATTAATTCAAAATTAGCTAAATTAGAAGAGAATTACCAGCAGAATTTCAATGAGTGGCCGATCAAGAAAGGTCAAACAGTCTTTTTTTGTTTATCCAGACTGTTCATACATGGACATTTATGATTGGTTAAAACTTATATTATCATATGCAATAAAAACATAATGATATGGTTAAGAATACATGATAATTCATTAGAAACACCAATTAATAAAATAGTTTGCTTAATTTGACACTAAAAAACAATGTAATTCACTTTTTTGTCCTATCGTACACGTACAATCAGTTTGAGGTTTAGCGGTGGTATCGGCGAGGAGAGGATGTAGAGGCGGTGGCGAATGTTGTCAATCATACCTTCTTACCAGGAGCTTCAAATTTCTGTAGCAGCTGTGACCTTCTTGTAACTTGTAAACGTCTTCATTATGCAATGACGTATTTTGTCGCCATTGTCGCTTGTCAACTCAGTATCGCTTTACCTATAAGTGTTTATTTGGTACATTATAACACGCATAAGGCATACAGATATTGAATATCAGTATTGTGAGTAACGTAGCGGAAGTCGCGAAGGCACAAAACAAGGTATTCTTCAGATTTTTAAGGATGTAATTATTTAAATATATTATAATCATTACTTTTATTACTTAATAGAATGTTCAGGTGACGAGGGAAAATGTTTCAGTCCAGGAGAAGAATTTACCAAAACTTATCAAGGAACAGTCTACTCAAAGACAACATGCACCGTTGAAGGAAATGATGTTAATTATGCTTTCCGTAATTAAACTGTTATTTATTCAATAAATGAAATAAATGTACCTGAAATGTCATAAATTGTTTATTAATTCTGTGTTTTCCACGATATTAATCTCCCTAATACAAAACTAAAGCGAAACTGATCTAACATTGGCCACTTGAGTCACTTGATACGAACAAAACGAAAGTTACGGCGATGCCGTTAGAGAAAACTTTGGAGGTGTGTAAAATCCCCTTTTAGCAGGGTCTTTTTCTTCTGCCTCTACTCCAGCTGAAAACTGTCAAAATATCCATCAGAGGCTGTAATAGAGGCAGATGTTTCGGACTAGTTTCTAACAGGCTGAAATGTCCAGCAATAAAAAAATCACAATTTCTTAATTATTTGTATTTAATTTTAAAGTTTTAACGCATGAACATTGTTTTTTTTTAAAAAAAACAAGCTCATCTCATAAATTCCGGCGTGACGGAATCACTCATTGGTTGCACCCGATTCGCCTATTATTAGTTGATTCTTTCAAGAAGTTGTTAGTGGCTATTACTGCTTATAGTTATAACATAACAAAGGCGCCTTTCCGCCTCCAGAGGTAATTGTTAGTTGCTACGAACTGCTAACAAAGGCTATCACGTTAATAATAGTCCACTGCTCGCAGCATCTAACAAAGGCTAACAATAATACTGCTGCCAAAAGCTAACAAAGGTTAAAATTAATAATAAAAAAATATATTCATAATTTCATGGTTATACCTATACCCGACATTCCTTTTGCCTCAGCGGAGTTACCAAGACATGAGTATTGTTACTAGACCTCTGGTAGTACCCGGGTATTGTTACTAGACCCCTGGTAATGCCTAGGTATTGCTACTAGACCTCTGGTATAGTACCCGGGTATTGTTACTAGACCTCTGGTAGTACCTGGGTGTTGTTACTAGACCTCTGGTAGTACCTGGGTATTGTTACTAGGCCACTGATAGTACCTGGGTATTGTTACTAGGCCACTATTGCCAGCCTATTGTTACTAGGCCAGTTTAGTACTAGGTATCGTAGCTAGGCCACCAGTTATGTCAGGGTATTGTAACTGGGCCTCCTGTAGTATCAGGGTATTATTATTGGTCCACTGGTAGTACCGCACGGGTCACTGATAGTACCCGAGTATTGTTACTGGGCTATTTATAGTACCAGGCTGTTGTTACTGGGCCATAGGTAGTTACAGGAAACTGTTACTAGAAACCACCGGTAGTACCTGTATAATGGTACTGGGCAACCGACAGTTTTGGGTTTTGGGACTGGGTTAAGTTTGCTACCGGGCTAGGTTATTGTTTACCAACTAGTACCAGTTTGCTGTTACTACGCCACTGATTGTAGGCTACCAGGCTACTGTTACTAGACCTGTGGCAAAACCAGGCTATTGTTACAGGGCCACTAGTATAACCAGGCTACTGTTACTAGACCTGTGGCAAAACCAGGCTATTGTTACAGGATCTCTGATAGTACTGGGGTTTTGTTAATAGGCCATTGGGCATACCGGGGGTTTGTTTCTATCCACAGGCCATACTGGGGTCTGGTTTCTAGGCAACTGGCCATACCAGGGTCTTGTTTCTAGTCCACTGGCCATACCAGGGTCTTGTTTCTAGACCACTGGTCCTACCGGGGTCTTGTTTCTAGGACGCTGGCCATACCAGGGTCTTGTTTCTAGGACACTGGCCAACAGGGTCTTGTTTCTACGACACTGGCCATACCAGGGTCTTGTTTCTAGGACACTGACCAAACCAAGGTCTTGTTCATATAGGCCACTGGCCTATAAATACCAGGTTATTTTTCTTGGCCAATGGTTATACCAGGCTAATGTTACCGGCCATTGATTATATACCAATTAGCTATTAATTGTTACAGACTCAGTGGTTTTAAAAAGCTTTTTGGGGGCTCCCTGGTTCTACCAAGCTTTCGCTAGGCCGGTGTTAGGCCTACTGACTCAGTGGTTTTACAAAGCTATATAGGCCTACTTTTTCTGGGCCACTGGCTTTACCAGGCATTTGTTCATGGGCCACTTGTTATACTACTTTGTTGCTAGGCCTCGGGGGTACCAAGCTATTGTTACTTGACCGCTGAGAGTGCTGAGATTTACAATATTATAAAATATAAAATAATTGATTTAGATCGTGTAATAAATTGGGCGATGTGACTTAGGTACGATTTTGTAAAATATTTTTACCGGTACCGAACTTATTTTTGACCTGATTCTGTAAAGGTCATCAACTCGAAAATTGAGAATTATGTTCTGCCTATGATTTCATTGCCGATTGATGAGATTATTTACGTGGAATTTTCACAAGAGAATGCCGACTAAGGTAAAGCATTTTTAATATTGGCTCTTTAAACTTTAAGATAATCTTATATAGTCCTAGATCTAGAAATTCGACTGACAGTCTTGCATATAAAATATCTGTTATTTCCATGTAACGAATAGAAATTAGTAGTTTAGTATGAGGTTCTTCTTAACATAAGGCATAATTGTGGAATCAATTCTATTATTAACAAATGAATCAGAAAAGTTTTAGCATTTCTGAAAGCCATGGCATAGATTATTGTTCATTTTTGCTTCCAAAATCTATTCACATAACCTACCAAGTCACCCTTTGTGATTTTGGAATCAAACTTTGCCTGTCATTAGATGTAATTCAACAGAATATTTTCATTAAGTTGCTATGTGTCTTAGTAAGCTGGTTAATTGACATGGTTAATTTCATACCATACTGATAGGCTTTTGAAAAAAACAAAAACAAACTATAAGACAGGTTTGGAGAAATCAGGCGATAAAAATTTACATAGTGTATAATTGGGTAAATCTTATCTGACCACACTGAGCTCAGAATTGAATTTTTCTGTATCTAACAATATAATTTCCAATTGCTTGCCATTTGTCCTTAAGAATGTTTTGAGTCCATATAGGTTTTAATGATTTTACATTTGGAATAAACACTCTTTAATTTTATGGATTTTTTGGATAATTGAAAGATTCTGTTGTATAGATGACCCAAATACTGTGGTCGAAAAGAATGTATCGGACTAACCTATTCAATCGATTTGATATCAAAATATCATATTATGATAATTTGATAACAAATTGGTTGTTTACTAATAACAATTAATAAAGGAACTTTCGGTAACTTGAATGTCGATCTTGAAATCATTATTAATTGACAAACAAGCTGATGATAATAATGTTGGTATCTTCATAATATCTCCGCAACACTAATAGTCTTGAATGTTTAGACTCTAATTAAAATTTCAGATAGAAGTCGCCTTATTGTTACATGCATATACAGCTTATTCAACTATATATCTAGTAGATCTAATTAAATGAAATGATGCAGCCTAATAAAGATAAGATAACAACTTTATTGAACACGATACACTATGTCCTCCTCATAAGGTCCATATCTACTTTTTTATAATGGGCGCATTTCTTATGAAAAATTACAAATAGACTAAAATGTTTTGTATTTTCAGGCCTAAAATTATAAAATTCTTATTTAGACAAAAGCTGAAAAGGATGTTTTCTTAAAACTAAACAAATGGCCTTTGTTGGATGCTTACGTTTCACTTTAAAGTGATTGATACGGTACTAAATTTTTTATTTGGCCCACTATACACTTTTATGTTATCGAGACTTAACTGGCGGGAACATTGAGTTATATTTATTCAAGTCGAATCACCATAAAATATATTATTCCACTTCCATTTATGTAAATAGTGCCTATGGAAAACAATATGTAAAACCCCAAAGAACATTTTGACGCAAACTTCCTTGAAGTTTTACCATCATATATTGATAAGGTCACAATAATTGTCAGTAAACGTAGAAACTATAATTTTTTTTTCATTTCTATTCGCTTAATGGTCAATTCGCCCCAAAACCAAAATACCAACAGAATAATTAGGCCTATTGTTGAATTAAAGTGCCCGTTGTTGAACCTTTTTGTCAGTGGTAAAATAACTATAACTGCTTTGTGTAATTGCAAGACATCGTCGACGGGACAATCTCATGTGACACAGTAACCTTCCAATCCAATCCAATATCAATAATCTGTAGGCCCTACAATAGGTTGCCTAGAAGCATTAACCTAAAACTATCTGTTGTCCAATTATAATAATCTGAGACTACAAGGGTAACAATAGCCCAGTACTACCAATGGCCTACTAACAACAGCCTAGCACTAGTAATAAAAGCCTGGCACTTCCAGTAATAATAGCCAATTATATCAATGGCCCAGTAACAATAGCCTTGTACTACCAGTGACTCAATAACAATAGCCTAGTACTATCAATGGCCCAGTAACAATGCCTAGTAACTATAGCCTAGTACTATCAGTAGCCCAGTTACAATAGCCTAGTACCACCAGTGTCCCAGTAACAATAGCCTAGTACTATCAGTGGCCCAGTTACAATAGCCTAGTACTACCAGTGACCCAGTTACAATAGCCTAGTACTACCAATGGCCCAGTAATGATAGCCTAGTACTACCAGTGGCCAAGTTACAATAGCCTTGTACTATCAGTGGCCCAGTAATAATAGCCTAGTACTATCAGTGGCCCAGTAACAATAGCCTAGTACTACCAATGGCCCAGTAATAATAGCCTAGTACTGCTCGAGGCCCACAAACAATAACCTATTACTATCAGTGGACGAATAATTAATAGTCTAGTACTACCAGTGGCCCAGTAACAATAGACTAGTATTATCATTGGCGCAGTAACAATAACCTAGTATTGCAAATGACATAGTTACAATAGCCTAGTACTACCAGGGGCATAGTTAAAATAGCCTAGTAACTATAGCCTAGTACTACCGATGGCCTAGTAACAATAGCCTAGTACTACCAGTGACCCAGTCACAATAGCCTAGTTCTATCATTGGCGCAGTAACAATAGCCTAGTACTGCCAATGGCCTAGTTAAAATAGCCGGTGGCCCAGTTACAATAGCCTAGTACTACCAGTGGCCTAATTACTATAGCCTAGTACTACCAGTGGCCCAGTTACAATAGCCTAGTACTACCAGTGGCTTAGTAACAATA